GTTTGTATGATAAAAGAAAGACCAGAAAAAGTGAGATATAAAAAAGAATAATAGTTAGCTTATCTCACCAAGTAATTTTTAAAGATTTATTTTATTTTAATTATGCATAACAGTTATAGGTATATGTGTGTGAGGTGTGTGTGTGTGTGTGTGTGTGTGTGTGTATGCTCAGGTGAATGCTGGTGCCAGCAGAGGCCAAAGACACCAAATTTCCTGGAACTGGAATTGCATATGGTGTGAGGCACCTTGTGGTTGCTGGGAACTGAACTCGGGTCTTCTGGAAGAGCAACCAGTACTTTTAACCTCTGAGCCATTTCTCCGGCCTCTCACCAAATATTTTTAACACACTAAAGAATATCTACAACCTGTTGTTTGGAAGCAGGGATAGACAGACAGACAGACAGACAGACAGACAGATAGATAGATAGGTAGGTAGGTAGGCAGGCAGGCAGCCAACCAGCCAGCCAGCCAGCCAGATAATAGATCCACGCATACATATATACATATACAGAAGAAAGAGACCACAGTAGATTCCACTGTATATGGGAATTCAATATGTTACAAAAATTGGAATTCCAGTTCCATGAAAGGACAGGATGGCTCCCTTCACCTGTGCAAGTACAAGCTTTACATCTGGAGGGCCTGGGTTTGATTCCCAGCACCTATATGGCTGCTTACAACTGTCTGCAGCTCCAGTTCCAGGGGATTCTACACCCCCTTCTTGCTTCCATGAACATGCACACGTGTGATGCCCAGACACATATGCAGGCAAAACATACAGGTGGAATAAAATAAAAATAATTTAAAAAACAATGGTAACAATTAGCATGTGATCGTCTCTTTTATATATTATGTCTTAGCAGCTTATGTGTAAAAAAACAAATGACCAGAGGAATAGGTAACTGTCACCTCAGAGGAACAGATAATTTACAGAGCGACAAAGCTAACTACCAGTAAACACACACAGAGATGGTCAGCTGTTGGCAGTCAGCAGAAATACCTATGAAATAGCACTTGTCACCCATCTGCCTGACTGACAAGAGCTAAAAATTGTTAAGTCTCCTGTTGGCCAGACTAATGTAAAAGAAAAGGCCCCCGATTCTTCTAGGATTGCTTGCTGCTCTTCCAGAGGACGTGAGGTGGGTCACAGCCCTCATACCAGACAGCTCCCAACTGCCTATAACGCCAGCTCCGGGGGATCCAACGCCTTCCTTTGGCCTCCATGTGCACACGTGTGGCTTCCATTCACACAGACATGAAATGAATCTTAAATCTGCCGGCATGTAACCTCTGTGCCCCGAGGCTTTTCTTGGGGGCACTGTTTGCAGTGACAAAACCATGGAAATAAACCATGTAGGAATGATGGACAGAGTTCACTCAAACCAAGGAGCAGCAAGCAGCCAATAGGCATGCTTTCTTAGGCATAAACTCGTAAGTCTAGAGATGTCTTTGTGACCCAATAAATGAGACACGTAAAGTACAGGAAGGTGGAAAGTGAGTCTCTGGTGGCAGCCTCATCACACACGTGCATACTCTGCACCTGCGTTTGGATGTGATCTCGTGAGGACAGAGGAAGGCATGGGAGAACAGCAGAAGTGGATGTCAGCAGGGACTAGGGACGAAAGGAGCACAATAGGGCATAAATAATCCAAATCCAATACTGAAATTGGATAAAGTGCCATGCTGCGGGGTAAGAGGAAACAGTAGCGGAAAAATCCTAGGCTATTGACGTCATAGATTGTCAGACAATATCAGCAAAATGATGACAGCTGTTTAAGGAGACGCATTGTACGTGTTCCCATCGTCCTTTCCAAGTTTGGTTTGGTTTTCACCACAGCACACAGTTTTATTAGCGATTCCATTAAGGTTAAATCTCTAGGAATGAGAGAGTCCTAGTTAGAGGGCACACAACCCCACGAAGCCCCCTCAGATCTCATAGTGAACCATCGGCTCCATTTTTTTGTTTTTTGTTGTTTTTTGGTTTTTTTTGTAGGATTGTCACCTCATTCCAGGCACAGATTATTATAGAGACATTGCTTCGGCCGCACAGGCGTGTAGGAGGAGAAAGTCTCCCCCACCCAGAACATGGAAGTCACGATGGTCACAAAGCCGAAGAGCTGTTTACACATGACATCCCATGAAACAGGTGTAGGGGACGTGTCCACACGATTCCTGATATACATGTTTATGTTCCCAGTGCATCTGTTCCCCCCAGTTCAACTTCAGGTCTATGTGGTCTGGTTCGTGCCATGGATTCCTCTCTTGCTATGAGCAGTCAGTCACCCTGCCCCATGCCAGCCCTGGGTATGGCTTGTAAGTCTTCCACACGTATATTATACTTCTTGGCAGCTGGGGCCTGTTTTTCTGGGGTCCTAGGATACCACTCTGGCGGCATGCCCTTGGTCAAGTGAAAGGCTGTCTGTGTCCCCAGTGGCACCGTGCCACAGGTTACCCTCTGTAGCCACCGGACTCTCGGGGCTGCGGCCCTGGCCACTGCCGTCTTCCATTTCACCTTCTCCACCTCCAGGTTGTTTTTGTTTTGTTTTGTGTGTGTGTGTGTAGTTATTTTTGCTTTTGTAATTAACTAAAACAAGATTTCTAACTTCTATTGATCAAACACCTTTTTTTTTTGTATCTTGAAATCAGTGACCACACAGATGTGTATCCTTGAGCTTTCTGATACCGTAGCTCTGAAATACACACATTTTCCATTTACTTAGGACATGGAGTTTTTGTTTGCCTGTTTCCAAGTAGTTACAGGTCAGAAAACCAAATCCTCAGAAGTAGATAATCCATAACAATTTGGCTTTACATATCTCAAGACTCCCCCCTGCCCCCAATAGCAACAGAATTACACCTAACAATAATTTTAAAAACTTTGTGGAGGGGGTGAGGTTGTAGCTCAGTCAGTAGAGTGCTTGCCTTGCATGCATAAAGTCCTGGGTTCAATCCCCAGCACCAACAAATAAACAAGCAAACAAAACAAAAAACCCAAACAAACCTGGGTATCTGGCACATGCCTGCCTAGAATTCAGCATTCAGGAGGTAGGGGCTAGAAAATCAGAACTTCAAGGCCACAGTGTTTGAGGCCAGTCTGAATGCATGAGACCCTGTCCATGAAGGAAAAACAAATGTATGCTCAATGTCATGTGTCCATCACACCTGAGATATGGGAGACTAGGAGAACCTGGCCCCTTCAGTCTTCGTCGTGGGAAGCTCATGAGGTGGAGGAATTCATCAAAGACAAGAAAGGGTTAAAATACTGAAAGGGAGGGGGATGGCTAAGTGAGGTCCCAGGTGCACAGTCTTTCCTCATCTGTGTTAGACAGCATTCTGAACTGCAGCTTCGTGTCCAGGGGTCACAACAGGCAGCCTTCATTTGTTAAGCTTCTCTGGGGGCACAAAGGAATCTACCAGATGCTGAGAATGGTAACTAGAAACAGGCCCATCTTTCTTGCTCAGCTTTTCCTTCGTACTGTAATTTTCCTAAACAGCAACTTGCTAATAAAGCCAGTAAGTCTGGGGCTGGGGATTTAGCTCAGTGGTAGAGCGCTTGCCTAGCAAGCGCAAGGCCCTGGGTTTGGTCCTCAGCTCCAGAGAAAAAAAAAGAAAAAGAAAAAAAAACCCATTAAAATAAAAGCCAGTAAGTCTTAACTAATTGGTTGGATCCAAAGGAGAATGTAGCATATTAAAAAAAATGCCATATTGCCAGGTGGTGGTGGCTCACATCTTTAATCCCAGCACTCAGGAGGCAGAGGCAGGTGACTCTCTGTGAGTTCGAGGCCAGCCTGGTCTACAGAGTGAGATCCAGGACAGCCAGGGCTACACAGAGAAACCCTGTCTCAAAAACAAAACAAAACACACACAAAACCTACCATATTTTTGAGTAATGAGTTTTATAGTCACAAAATGATGCTTGCAGGCCAGTGAGACGACTCTCATCTGGTAAGCGCCTTCACTTGCCTTGGGAGCCTGATGACTTGAGTTTGAACCAGGATCCGTATAAAGGGGAAAGGGGAGCCCAACCCCACAGGTTGTCCTCTGTGTATTTCATGGTCTGTGGCCTTCCCCAATAAAATATCTGACTTTAAGTGTTTGTGTGTGTGTGTGTGTGTGTGTGTGTGTGTGTGTGTGTGTGTGTGTGTTTTCGAGACAAGGTTTCTCTGTGTAGCCCTGGCTGCTTTGGAACTCACTTGTAGACCAACTGGCCTCGAACTCACAGAGATCTGTAGGCAGAGTTTTTCTTTCCCCCAGCCTCTCCCCAAATAATCACACAGAGACTTAATATTAATTATAAATTATCAGCTGATAGCTTAGGCTTGTTTTTAGTTAGCTCATATAACTTAAATTAACACATATTTCTTATCTACCCTCTGCCACGTGGCAGTATCTTCTTTCAACACGACAAGTTCATCTCCTGCTTCATCTATGTTTCCTGGCTTCTCCTCAGGCTCCACCCATCTTCTCCCCAGTATTCTCTCTGCCCCCCAAATCCTGCCTAGCCATCGGCCAATCAGCTTTTTATTAACCAATGAGAATGATACATATTTGCAATGTACAGATTGTTCCACAGCAGGGATCCACCTGCCTCTGCCCCCTGAGTGCTGAGATTAAAGGTGTGTGCCACCACACCCACCTAAGTTTTTCTTTTTTAAATAATTTATTTATTTTCATTTTATGTGCATTGGTGTTTTGCCTGCATGTATGTCTGTGTGAGGATGTTGGATCCCCCGGAACTGTAGTTACAGACAGTTGTGAGCTACCATGTGGGTGCTGAGAGTTGAACCTGGGTCCACTGGAAGAGCAGCCAGTGCTCTTAACTGCTGAACCATCTCTCCAGCCCCTGACTTTAAAAGTTAAGGTTTACTCAATTTAGTAATTTATTATTCTTCTGAAATTGTTTAGCTTTAAGCTGTGCTTGGTATTTAAAAGCTAACCCATAAAACTAGTCCAGTATCTTCACGGATTTTACCAGATGTCCTTTATTCTTGAATTGGCAGGTGCAGGGAAGGGGAGGTGGCCTGACCCAGGACGATGATGACGCAATGCTGAAGAGTGAGCTGGAGGAGAGAAGCAACAGGCACCATGGAAAAAACCAAAACAAAGCAAGGTCAGATCTCCAGCTCGCTTTGGAGCTTGGGATTCCAGAAACGCAGGAGTTAATCTGTCTCGCCACCTTTTCCAAATACCGTTTTCCTATTATTATCCCCTTGGAGACCCAGTTAGGCGATAGCTACAAAGTGTCAGATTTAGATGTGAGGTCCTGGTCCTTGGGTCTCAGTCTTAGTTCTTGCCATTTGTTTGGACAGAGTATGAGAAGGTTTGGTAACCCCCAACCATTGGGATTTTACAGGGACAGCCTCTACCGAGTACAAGTCCTAGGCTGAGGTGATGTATTAGTTAGGACCTTACCGTATGGAGGCTAGCTCCTCTAAGGAGGGCTCTCCATACTCGCATGTCTAAGGAGAACAATACGCATACACGCACAGCCAAAGGCTTGCAGGCGCGAGTTTCACGAGAGTTGTTTGCTTCTTGCAATGTGACCTTTGTGCGATGTGACCCTCCACGAGAGTAGCAGCAATGTGGTTGAGCAAAGACCCTGCATCAGTGGCCTCATCTTCGTGGCCAACCCTTGTGGTTCTGAAGGATAGTTTCTAAGCCAACCTGGTTTTCTCCCTAAGTTGTAAGGGATTTTTTTATAGCCTGCTCCATCAACCTCGTGTTTCCCCGTGTCTCCAGACTCCAGTGCTGGCGATACTGTTTTCTTCCTGTCTATAGTCTTCCGGAAACTTTCCACTGACAATTCTTTCCCATAAGTCCATCTGCCTCGTTGGATGTGAGTCCCCCCCACTGACTGTGGCACTGAGATGAGAGCAGAAGTTTGGCAATATGATCATAGAGACACAGGAATAGGAACATTTCATGTTTCTTCCTGAGATCAGCCCGTGACAGCCAGGCGACCACGTGGCTGACTTACTTCCTTTTCCTGTTGCTATTCTATAATACTCTGACCAAAGCAATTTGAGGGAGATGGGTCTTATTTGCTCATAATTCCAGGTGACAGTTGATCGTGGCAGGGAAGTCACAGCAGGAGGTGCCTGAGAGAACAGGTCACTTTACAGCCACACATAAGAGAAGAGAGCAACACAGTAGTGCGTGCCCTCAGCTTGCCCTCTCCATTTTCCTAAAAAATGTTTATTTTTTTAATGTGTCTGAGTGTTTTGCCTGCATGTACGTGTGTGCACCACATGTATGCTTGGTGCCTGCAGAGGGTAGAAGAGAGTGTCGTATCCCCCAGGACTTGAGTCACAGATGGTTGTGAGCAATCATGTGGGTGCTGGGGACCAAACCTGTGTCCTCTGCAAGAGCAGCAAGGGTTCTTAATCACCGTATGACCCCTCCAGCCCCTTGCGCTCTCCATTGCATACAGTCCAGGATGTCCACTCTGTTCAGGGAATGGTCCTGCCCCAAAGTAACTGGAGTCTTTCCCCATGAATTAACTTAACCAAGACAATCCCTCGAGGATATTCTCCGAGGCCACCCCTAATCTAGACAGTCCCTCATAAGTGTGCTCAGAGGTTTGCCTCCAAGGTGAAGAGTTGACAATTAATACCGACCATAACCCTGGCAAAGAGCAGATGTCAGCTCAGACAGACTTTAGTCAGCCCTACGGATATGAGGGAGACACCCCCAGGGCATCTCCGTCTAGCCAGTTAATGACTGACAATCACTGAGTTTGGTAGAGAAACTTCACTTTTGTGGCAAGAACGGGTTTTCGGCTATGATAACTTTGTCAGGTAGGTATAGTTCAGCTGTTAGGGTATAAATACGAGCATCACTGTATTTATTTTTTGTTCCGGAATCATCTGGTTCTTGCCATTCAGGCACAGTTAGAGGATCCTCTCGTGGGTCTATTACCTCCACATATCCAGTAAGAGTAGGAGAGGCACAGAGCGAGTTGTGTCGATTGAATAAATCTCTTTCTTCTTGCAGGAGAGAATGAACATATGCCGGTGAATAGCCCTTCCACACAGATCTACCAGGTAACGACAAACGCCTTATTGTGGAGACTGTCATGAATAGTGGTGACTGTCCTTCACACACGGCGATTTCTAACACTTAGATACTTCCATGTGTATCCTGACATTTGTTCTCTTAACAAGGCCAAGGGACAGGTAGGGCAGAGGCCACTCACTTTGTACCTTTGAGAGAGCTGGTTGGCGGAGGAAAACACATTACCTATACCCTACCTTGGCTCTGCTTTTCTTGCCTACGCCACGGTCACAGTGGTCATCACACCAGCCGACAGGGAAGACACAGGAAGAGCTACCTTTTCTCAGCCAGGTGTGGTGGTGCACACCATAACCCCTAACACGCGGGAACCTAAGACACGAGTTTAACAAGTTCAAGGCTAGCCTAGATTACAGAGTGAGACCTTGTGTGAAAACATTTTTTAAAATATGTTTTTCTTAATTTTTTTCCCCCCAGGGGAACTGAGAATTAAGAGTGTTAGCATTACATACGTTCAAGTATGGTGACAGGGAGAAAAATTAAAACATTTTAAACAATGGCAATAATTAGATTTTTTTGCAAAGCCAATCATGACAAGCTTTCTAGCAGGCTGCCCCAACTCTGCAAATAGAATTTATTTGGCTTCTGTCTTCCAACCAGAAATGGAATTAAAGTTCCGTCCTTAGCAATCATGGATATTTTCACTGCCATATTTTGTCTTGTAAAGTCAGTTTGAGCTTTGTGCTTCTCTCTAGACTTAACACTATTATCTGTTATCAGGGCCTGGCGGGGGGGGGGGGGGGGGGGGGGGCGGGAGGGGGGGAGGCTCTTTTTTTAAAAATTATTATTAATTTAATTATGGTTATTAATGTATGTCTATGTATGTATGCGTGTGGCGTGTGCGGCAGTCAGTTCTCTCTTTCTGCCTTGTGGGTCTCTGATATTGAACTCAAGTTGTTGGGCTTCAGAGGCAAACACCTCCACCTACTGAGCCATCCCACCAGTTCCTTACGTTGGATTTTTAGGCCCTTTCATGCAGGAAGACAAGAGGCCAGGAGAGCAGATAGCTGGGGAAATATTATTTCTATTAGCTAAGTTTAAATGCAGCTAGATCCCAGAAGCATCCTGCAAGAGTTCATTGCTGTGGGCCGAACTAGAGCGAGCCCACAGCAGGAGAGTAAAGCCGTGTTAACTGTGTGCCTCTTTGATCATCAATGAGAGGGAGTAGCAGAAACAGCCTCATGTCAATTTCATTCATATTTGGCGAATGGTTATCTGCAAATCTGCTGCTTAGCCTGCTGGGAAATCAGACAGATGAAACAGACTCTGTTTGAATGTCCACACCTTGAAAATACACCGATGAGTGGCTCATATGAGGCAGGCTTTTGAAAAGGCTACGGTGACGGCATTGATACAATTCAGTAGGGTTATTGACTTGATTTGAGCGGAGTACCAAGGACAAGCCGATCACTGGACAGTGAACTATCAAGAAAGACTATTCCGACAGGGTGGCCAGCTTGAGCAGAGCCTGGGGCGGGGGCAGGTCTCCTCCACGCTGATGTGATGCCTCACTGGTCCAAGGCCTCTAGATGCTCTCCATGCTCACCCGTGTTCTCCTCTGACCCGCCTCTGCCATTGCGCGAGTGTAAATGCCTCTTTAAAGCCAGATATGATTTGAAATCTATTATGGATATGTGGGTCACTCCCTTGATGTTGGCTAAATTTAGCTGCGGAGGGGATGGCCTCATTATCTCACTGTGTCACGAATCCAAGTGCATCCTTTCACACTGGAGTGCTTGGTGCCGGGAAAGAGCGTTTGGTCTCTATGGTCTCTGCTGCGCCTTGATGACCCCATCTTTGTTCTAAAAGAACACTTCCCAAGTCTGTTAATTCCAAGCAACTTTTAGCCAAACGAAGGAGGGGCCAAGGAAGAGGACAGAGGGCAGGGAGGGTAGGTAACTATCACAAAATATGATCTGCATTAGAAGGGACAATAGAACTGAAGGAAAATGTGAAATTTCGATCATTTTCTCCATTTTTTTTTTTTTTTTGCAGATTCCATCCTTTGCAGATGTTATTATATTAACTTGATTTTTAAAAATTTTCAAGCTGGGTGGTGGTGGTGCAGGTGGATCTCTGAGTTTGAGGCCAGCCTGGTCTACAGAGTGAGTTCCAGAACAGCCAGGACTACACAGAGAAACCCTGTCTTGAAAAAAAAAAACTAAAAAAAAAAGAAAGAAAAAAATTTGCAGGACAAGACATCGAGGCACAAGCCTCTAACCCAGGACAGAGTCAGGCAGATCTCTGTAAGTTCAAGGCCAGCTTGGTAAGCAGAGTGAGTTACAGGCTAGCCAGGGTTGCATAGTGAGACCCTATCTCAAAATCTTTTTCCTGTTTCCTAATCCAGAATGGAAACTGCAAAGCAAGGATTTAGTGTGCTTTGCTCTTGGTAGCTCGTATATGACAGTGCTTGTCATATACTACATAGTCAATTGGACAAATGAGTGATGATCTGGAAGATGAACATATTGCTTTAAGCTAAAGGATCTAATGCAGTCATTCAGTGTGGTGGGAGACAGTGTTGGGAAAAAGAAAAATCTTCGTTGTTTGCTCTAATCAAAACAAACCCCAAAGTGTTTCTTAAAAGGTGAAGTAGGAAAAAAAAGAGGTGAATATGGTGGGTGGTGGCACTGGCTTTTAAATGCCAGCATGTAGAAAGCTGGGGAAGGCAAAGGAGAGGGAGGGCCAAGTTCAAGGCCAGCCTGGGTCACACGAGACCTTGTCTCAACCGAACGGACAATCTAGGAAGGAGTGTAGACAGCAGACCTGCAACTCTGTCTCAAAACCAAAACCCAACCCAAACAGACAAGACTCTAGGAGAGACAAAAGATGGGGGGCAGAAAAGAAAATCTCTGCAGTGTGGCCTTGGCCTACAAATATCTTCGTCAATGTACTGTGACACAGGCAGAAGTATGGATGTTGATGGTGTGTGGAAGCAACGAGAGTTAGGGTAATTCTCATCTTTCAAATTTGCCTATTTTTCTCTGGAATGGAAATGTCAGTGGCAGAGGGACAGAGGCACAGCTCCAACCATCTCCCTCAGACTCCTGAAAAGTTCTTTTTGGGGGCCGCTTCAGGCAAAACTGGATCCTTGGTCGCACCGTGGAAAAGAATTTTGGGAAGAGTCAGTGTGGAGCAGAGCTGGAGTTCAGTTAAAGAGACCATGATACAGCTTTTAAGTTCAAGTCCTAGGAGAGAGGTGCTCAGGAAGAAAGTATGACAAACTCCAAAGTATGTGTTTTAGTCAGGGTTTCTATGGCTGTGAAGAGACACCATGACCAAGGCAACTCTTATAAAGGAAGACATTTAATTGGGCTAGTTTACAGTTAAGAGGTTTAGTCCATTATCTTCACGGTGGGTAGCATGCAGGCAGACATGGTGCTGGAGAAGGAGCTGAGAGTTCTACATCCAGATCCTCAGGCAACAGGAAGTGAACTGTGACACACTTCCTCCAACAATGCCACATCTACTCCAACAAAGCCACACCTCCTAATAGTGCCACTCTCCTTAGGGGCCATTTTCTTTCAAATCACCACAGAATGGATGTGGGCTTCTCACACAGCTACTTTTCCTGGTCTTTGCAATGATTACATGTAGGATTTTGGTGAATTTTTTTTTTTTTTTTTTGAGACAGGGTTTCTCTGTGAAATAGTCCTGGCTGTCCTGGAACTCGCTTTGTAGCCCAGGCTGGCCTCGAACTCACAGAGATCCACCTGCCTCTGCCTCCCGGGTGCTGGGATTAAGGCGTGCGCCACCACCGCCTGGCTAGGGTTCTGGTGACTTTTGAAGTCGTTCTCTTCAGAGAGTTGTTAAGGAATTCAAGTGAGATCACAGGGTGTTTCCCGAGGTGCGCCGGATAGGGTGACAATTGGTAAGGAAGAACCTTAGACCACAGCGGCTGAGGAGACGGCTCAGTGGGTAAACCTGACAACCTGACTTTTAGGTCCCCAGAACCCATGTAAAAGCCAGACGCAGCACACATCTGTAATTACAGTGCTCCTATGGGGAGTTGGGAGGAGCGGGTGGGAGAATCGCCTGAGGCTCAGGTTGGCTAGGCTGGCTTTTCCAGGGTGAGAACAATAAGAAAGACTGCCTCAGACACAATAGTGAGGATGGCATCCAAGGTTGTCCCCTGACATGTACCATGAACCCACACACCCCTGGACCCATACACACAAACATATGTGTACACATGCATGCCTTTAAAAAAAGAAAGCTAATAGCTTTGTTTGTGAGATTCCCAGGAGGAGTGAGGCTCCACCCAAGGTCATACACATCCAGGCCTCTTTTATTTATTTATTTTTATTTTATTATAATTTTTTAAACTTTAAAAATTAAACATAATTTTAAATGTTTTATTTACATATATTGTAAAAAAACATTCTTCTCTCATACATTACATCCTGACAGCAGTTTTCCCTCCCTCCACCCTACGGAGTCCCCCCACTATTTCCCCCAGATCCACTCTTCCTCCATTTCCCTTCAGAAAAGAGCAGGCCTCTCAGGGATATCAACCAAACACAGTTTAACACGTTACAGTAAGACTAGGCCCAAACCTTCATATCAGGGCTGGACGAGGCAACCCAGTAGGAGGAAAAGGGTCCCAAGTGCCGGCAAAAGAGTCAGAGACACCCCCAACTCCTACTGTTAGGAGTCCCACAAAACCACCAGGCTACACAACCATAAGGTATATGCAGAGGACCTAGCTCAGACCCGCACAGGCCCTGTGAGCTCCTATGAGCCCTGCATAGTTGATTCGGTGGGCCATGTTCTTTTGGTGTCTTTGACTCCTCTGGCTCCTACAATCCTTCCTCCCTCTCTTCTGTTGGGCTCCCCAAGCCCTGCCTTATGTTTTGGCTGTGGTCTCTGCATCTGCTCCCCCCAGTTGCTGGATGAAGTCTTTCTGATGACGATTGGGCTGGGCACCAATCTATGAGTATAGCAGAGTATTATTAGGAATCATTTCATCAACTTTTTTTTTTTTAACTAGCTGTATTTGGTTCTATCCTGGGTCTCTGGGCTATCTGGCCTCAGGCCCCTTTTATTGTTATGAGTATTATCTCTGTGTCAACAACCTCGCAGCAAACAGTAATGATACTGGAATGCTTGCTTCTCAGTTGACCATAGACTTCAGACAGACTCTGCAATGGGGGCTCCCTCTCCTTTCCACGTCCCTATGGTTTCCTGTCTTCCTATCTTGCCTCAAAGGAAGTTTAAAGAAATAAGGTGTCTGTCCAAAAGACCTTTAATTGAGTAACTATGGGCCAGGTTCATGGTGTTATACCAGCATGTCTGTTACCCCAGCACCTAAGAGACAGAGACAGGAGGATTGCAGCAATTTTAAGACCAACCTGACCTACACAGTGAGTTTCAGGCTAGCCGGAGCTACAATATAAGGCCATATCTCAAACAAACTATGGGGATTAGTCTTGTATGCAGAACTAGGTTTCATTGTCAAAACTGCCACTGGAAGTCATCTGGGATCTGTACAGCCTTGTTATAACAGAAGGTACAACATCAGTACTTTCTGATATTGAGGAAGCTCCCAACATCAGAGCAGTTAGCTCTCCCAGGCCAGCAGCGACTACAGGGGTCAGTAAGAGAAATTTCTACATAGCACGTTCACCTCACCTCAGCAGGCCCTGTGAGAAGGACTTTTCAGTGGCTTCTGTGGGGATGACAGATGAGGGAATAAGGACATTTTCCCCCCTCAGAATTAAACTATTGGCTGCTTAGTTTGTGTTTTAAACATAGCATCCTTTTCTTTTCTTTTCTTTTTTTCAAGAGAGTGTTTCTCTGTGTAGCCCTAGTTGTCCTGGGATTCGCTTTGTAGACCAGGTTGGTCTCGAACTCAGAGATCTGCTTGTCTCTGTATGCTGGGATTAAAGGTGTGCATTACAACACCTGGCTAAACACAGCATCTTTGAAGATCAATAAAGAGAACTAAAATTAGAAGATGGAAGTTGACAGAAAAAACAAAAAACAAAAACAGGTTTCCTTGGCAGTTTGGTTAAAGGCAAAACCAAAACAATTACCTTGGCATCTTTGGCATCATGTGGGACCCCAAAACATTTGGGATCTTGCTCATAATCATTAGGGATTTTAGGAATTTCACATGACTGGTTGAAGTTTCCCAAATCTTGACATTTATGAGTTCATAAAGTACCTAAGACACAGCAAAGCCCCTTGAGTCTGCCTCATAGTAGCTCTCAACCTTGGTAATATGTTGGGAGAGCCGGGCGGTGGTGGTACATGCCTTTAATCCCAGCACTCGGGAGGCAGAGGCAGGTGGATCTCTGTGAGTTCGAGACCAGCCTGGTCTACAAAGTGAGTTCCAGGACAGGCACCAAAACTACACAGAGAAACCCTGTCTCGAAAAACAGAAACAAACAAACAAAATATGTTGGGGAGAAATGGGGAAGGCTATGTAAAATACAAGTTGGAATGCCTGAAAATTTAGTTTGAGGCCCAAGAGATGTTAGGTGGAAAAGAGGATGACCTGTACTAGACTCATCTTACGAAGAGTTAACAAGCCAAGAAAGAAAGAAAGAAGAAAACTGGGAAATGGAAATTTAGAGCAGGAAGTGGGAAGAATTTGGACTTTCCTCCCATTTCTAAGCCTAAGGCGTCCTCCGTAGAACCCTAGACTTTGAAGTTCAAATCTCCCCTAAACCCGCCTCCATCGGCAGGAGGGAGGGATTGCAGTCTCTCTAGGTCAGCTTCATGAAAAAATCAGCGAGATGTGGAACGTGATGAACTGGAGAACAAGGTAGATTGGGTTCTAATCCTTGGGGTGGGGCAGGGGCTGTCAGATAAGAGAGCTGAAGAGAATGCCCTGTTAAGATCTCCTAAGTCCTTTTATTCACAAGGTCAGGTTGGTATGCAAGGCCAGTCTGCCCACAGCTGAAGATGGCTTGAAGAGCCCAGGCATCTCAGGAGTGACTCCTCACCTCCCTCACCTGCCTGTGCTCACAGGGCTTCCCCTCCCTGGCTGGTCTGGGTTGAGAGGCTGCTTATGGGCTGTAAGGCTACTTCACTGGAGCATGTCAGGAGAAAGAGTGCTGGGAGTCCAAAACAGTTACGGATTTCCCAGAATCCCTAGTGGTCATTAGAGAATGTGTTTGAGCCTGGCGGAGGTGGCGCATGCCTTTAATCCCAGCACTTGGGAGGCAGAGGTAGGCAGATCTCTGTGAGTTGGAGACCAGTCTGGTCTACAAATCGAGTTCCAGGAAAGGTGCAAGGCTACACAGAGAAACCCTGTCTCAAAAAACCAAAAAAAGAAAAAAGAAAAAAAAAATGTGTTTGATTTTTAACTTTTAACTGAGAGCAGAGGGTCTACAGTTGAGGAAAAGTCCTTTCGACTTTTCTGTTGACTCTGCTGTTGTCAAGGCTTGTGGGAAAAACCAGCTGTCCACCTGGGGCAGCAGTGACCAGGGTACCTGTGTCCCCTGGATAGCACTTCCCTTTCGTACACTTCTTCCCCGCCCAAGGCAGGAACAGGATCGTCTCCGGGCACTGTAACGGACCCCAGATCGCCTCCTTCCAATTTGAAAATCTGCACAGTTTTTGCTTTGACATCACAAAGATGACTTCTAATTAAAACTGTTTGGAATGCGGGGCTGGTGAGGTAGCTCAGTGGGTAGAGGCGCTTGCTGCCCCAGCCTGAAGACCTGAGTTTGAGATCTCCAACCCATGTAAAGGTGGAAGGAGAGAACCAGCGTTACAGTGTCGTTGTCTGGCTTCCACATGTGTGTACACACTCCCTCCCACACCACGTGTGCACGCACACGTAATCATAACTAGTGAAAATGATTGGAATGGAAAGTAGATCAATGGTGGCATTCCCCTGCCTCCAAGCTCCGGCTGCTTCATAGGCTCTACCTTTTCTCCTCAGAACAATTGCTTTCGGCTCTTCCTATTGCTCCTTATTCCCAGTTCTGGAAGAAACCATTTGGGAAAACAATAGAACCCAAACATCTGTATTTAAGAGATGTGGAACAGGACACTAAGCCATAGTGGGGGGCAGCAGGGCAGGTTGGAATCATTTGGATGAACTGGTTTTGGAAATGTCTAGAAGTATGCACATGTAGAGACATGTGGATTGTCGAGGTGTCTACACTTTACCTTTAGCTCCTTACTTGGTAGATACATAAAAATATTCTTATTTTTAAATCGTGTGTGTATATGTATGTGTGGGCTTGTGTGCATCAGCACAGTGCCAGAGCAGGCCAGAAGAGGGCTTCGAACTCCTGGAGCTGGAGTTACAGGCAGTTGTGAGCTGCTTGCTGAGGGTGCTGGCAGCCAAGCTCTGCTCTGCAGGGGTGGGCAGCAAGTGCTCTTAAGTACTGAGCCATCTCTTCAGACACGATATTTTAAATTCTAGAGTAAGCCTTCTGTATATTTCTGTTTTGAAGAGAGATGTGGACCTAAGAGTTCTATGTTCAATCAGGTCATAAAAAATCAAGACAATGTTATCTTACTATTATCTGAATTTGGTGTCTGTTGAAATGCCTTTTACATTTACCAGCGTCTGCTGGTTAAACACCATGAGAGAGCAATTTTGGATTCAGGGAGGGTCCACACCCTAGCTTTCTCACACAAGGGTGAAGAATGTAGGCGAATTGGCGAACCTCTGGATAGCAGTTTGCTTACCCATAGAGTAATTATAATAATGACAACTATTTCACAGGGCTGTCTTGATTATGAAAAAGTAAATGTAGATGAGGAGCCTCCCAAATACACATTTGGTACAGAGATACTCCAAAAAAACCTACCATTTTCTTTTCAAAGAAATTCTTACTAATATTTATTATTCTTATTTTTTAAAAGACGTATTTTTTTTATTATTTTTGTTGTCTGTGTGTATGTGTGTCTGTGTGATTGTATATATGTACACACATGTGTGAAACTGCCTTTGAAGGTCAGAAGGTGTCGGATCCCCTGGAGTTGGAGTTACAGACAGTTGTGAGCCTCCTGACGTGGCTGCTGGGAACCGAACCCGGGTCCTCTAGAAGAACGTCAAGTGCTCTTAGCCACTGAGCCAGCTCTTCAACCCCATCTTCTTTTTTTCACTTCTTTAGGGAAAAAGAGCTGAATTTCTTTATATTCTGGTGATAATTAGAGAGACTGTGGCACATCGTTTCTCTCACAGAATTTAGGTGCTGGATCAGGACTGTCTTTTCACATACATTTGTTATTTTCCAAGCAAGCCTCATTTTTTAATCTTATTGAGGCAGGCTTTCTCTGTGCAACCCTGTGTGTCCTAGAACTCTGTAGACCAGGCTAGCCTCGAACTCGGAGATCCCCCTGTCTCTGCCTCCCTGGGATTAATGTTGTGTGCCACCACCACCTGATTTAAGTAAGCCTCATTCTTATATCAAGGTCTTTTAAATAATGACAGTGTTCATGAGTACCCGTGAACCAGTGGCTCATTTTGCTGTTACTTGTCAAGCTTCAATGCACACTGCATAGACGACCTTTTCCCTAGACAAACAGGGGCAGAGTCACCTAGAAGATTCCAGAGCTGAGTAGATGAGACATCTGAGGTGTTTCAAGAGCTTTGTTTTCTCAAAGAAAGGAAAAGGTCAAGGGGTCAATGGTACCATTTATAATAACTTACAGTGAGTCGGGTTCACTCTTCCCGAATTATTCAGTTGCAGGCCCTGGCCTCGGAACTGAAAACCGGCTTCACAGAAGCAATGCAGGAGCTGACGCGGATCCAACATGGAGAATATGCTTTGGAAGAGAAGGTTAAGAGCTGCCGATGTTCCATGGAAGAGAAAGTCACCGAGATGAAGAATTCCTTAAACTACTTCAAGGTGGGAGCCTCCTTGATTTCCTGTACCGGAGCAGGGAGTTTGCCTTTTCTTATAGCAGCCCAGGGTAAGAGCTTTCCCTCTGAGCCATCTGTTAGCCATCATGGAGCAGCATCTATCTCATGGTTTTCAGTTTCTGAGCTCTGTGTTAAAATTAGAGGCCACAGTGAAAGCAAACTTCATCTCTTACTCCCCATTCACTCAAAAGTATGCACCAGGTAAAGGCTTATGAGATACTGACGTATGTTCTCTTAGCCCATTGTCTTAGTTAGGATTTCTATTGCTGTGAAGAGATACCATAACCATAGCAACTCTTATAATGGAAAACACTTAATTGGGCTAGCTTAAAGTTCAGAGGTTTAGTGTTTAGTCCATTATCATCATGTTAGGACATGGCAGTATGCAGGCAGATATGGTCCTGGAGAAGGAACTGAGAGTGGAGAAGGAGCTACATCTTGATCCTGCAGCAACAGGAAGAGATCTTGGAAGCGTATATGAGACCTCCAAGCCTGCCTCCACAGTGACACACTTCCTCCAACAAGACCACACCTACTCCAACAAAGCCACACCTCCTAATAGTACCACTCCCTATGAACTTTTGGGGACCAATTACATTCAAACCACTACACCCATGTACCAGTCTAAAATGTAGCAATTCTTACACTGCAGGAAGAGCTGAGCAATGCGATGTCCATGATTCAGGCCATCACTTCCAAACAAGAAGAAATGCAGCAGAAAATCGAGCAGCTTCAACAGGAGAAGCGAAGAGAGTCTCGAAAGGTTAAAGCCAAGTGAGTAGCTTGAAAGTATTTACCCCAGGCAAGCCCACAAGCGACGGCTCTTGCACAGAGGCCCTGAAAAAACTTCCGCCTATTAGCACGGCTATGAGGAGTGGGCTCCTGAGCAGCATAGATCATCAGCCTGTGCCGGAAGAGATGAAGCCATACAAGCTAGTTAATACTGGGGCTGGAGAGATGGCCCAGTGGTCAAGAGTACTGGCTGCTCTTGCAGAAGACTGAGTTTCTGTTCCCAGAATCCACATGGTGGCTCACAACTGCTTGTAACTTCAACTCTGGGGGATCTGACACCTTTTTCTGGCTTCTGCAGGCAAACAGGCGTGTATACACACACACACACACACACACACACACACACACACACACACAGAGTACGCACATTTCTCATGCATCCATAAGACCTTTTGAGCACCAGAGCTTGGGTCTCCAGAACCCACATGAACGTTAGGTGGAGGTGTAAGCTAGCTAGTGAGACTCGTCATATCGGTGAGCTTTGGGTTTGATTGAAAGACCCTGCCTCAATGCAACAAGGTAGAGGGTGATGGAGGACAATTCACAACTTCAAGTCCAGGCCTCCACATGCATGAACATATACCTACATATATGTGCCCAAATGCATGCATGCAGACACACACACACACACACACACACACACACACACACACACACACCTGTGTGCCCTTTCACACAGATGGGAAAAAATGCTTCTGTTTTCTGGTACTTGGGTTTGAATTGTTAAGTGAGTCAGTCCATCATTTCAAGCAAGTACCCAACACTTCAAAGACCCCACTAGGAGCTGGGCATGGTGACCATGCCTTTAATCCTAGCAGTCAGCAGAGGCAGGAGGATCTGTATAGCAAGGGTCCACATAGCAAGCCCCAGACTAGCCAGGGCTGCATAGTGAGACCTGGTGTCAAAAATGAACATCAAAATGAAATCAAAAGGGGGTTGGGGATTTAGCTCAGTGGTAGAGTGCTTGCCTGGCAAGCACAAGGCCCTGGGTTCGGTCCTCAGCTCTAAAAAAAAAAAAAAAAAGACAAAATAACAAAAAATAAAATCAAAGATCCTGGTGATAGGGAAGCCGGTAATAGAAAAATAAGAAAGAAAACATTACAATTAGAAGTGATTTATAGATAGTTGAAGTTGGTGAATTAAGTTGAACCACGTGAACTGTTTGGCTTCAACCATTTATAATTTATAAAAAATATTGTTATGGTTCAACCTGTGTGTGCCTTGGCAACACATTAAAAAAAACCCAATTCTCCAGCATTATTCTGAACTGAGCCTCCCCAGTCTACCATGTATTGAGAATCAAAGCATCCTTCTCTTGTCTCTTCTGCTAGGAAAGCTCAAAAGGAAGAGCATGGCGCACAGGCCGGACCTGCATCTGCGCCTGCGCAAGCGCAAGGAAGCCCCTTCCGCTCCATCAATGTCCCCGAATCTGGTCACCCCAGTGATGACTTCACCAACATTATGCCTTCTCAAACCTATGAAAAAGGTACTGCTCATAAACCACAGGAAATGGCATGAGTTAACCACACTTCTTTCTCCCTGATTCCTAGGGCTTGAGTGAGGTGGGGGGATGGACTCACATCCTCCATCCTCATCAGAGAGAAAACAAAATACGGCCATATTTCCCAGAACTTTCCTGGTATCTAGACTTTGGAAGGCACCAGATGACCTCTGCTTCCTGAGAGACTGCCAATTTTTAAATTTTGTTTTGTGGAAAATACTAATTTGGCTTCCTCTAAGTGTCACTTAGATTAAAAATAATTTAGGGCCATCAATACTGTACCAACCATGAGAGAACAAGATTAAAAAAAAAGTTGCTTTAAAAAGTTATTTATTGGTGATGTATCTCAGTACCCATGTTTCCCTGGAAAAACCAGGCTGGTTCTGTGTGTAGGCCAAAGCAGTCACCAACCACTTCCTGATTGTAAAGACATGAGAAATATGTCGACACAAGATGGCATGCTGGCAGCACCAAAGGAGTTGGCTTTTCAAGGGTTGTGATTCTGGACCTGTGTTCAAATCAGGAAAAATAAAGCAAGACAAACTTTGCTGCATCGTTATGTTCTCAAGAGTGTCCAACAAAGCACCTACATACAGAAACATGAATGTAGAAATTACCATAGTTTGACGCCCTCCCCATTTCTTGCTTTAGTCTTGTATGGAAAGGCCTCAAAAGTTGTATGACGTATACATGCATACAACTGGTGGTAGCTCATACGAAAATTCAGGATGAAAGGATTAAACCCCCAGAAAATGTTGGTTTATCCACTTTTAATGACACAATGGTATGACTGTTGCCTGTTACTCCCAAACTCAGTAGTTTCAAGCTCAGTGGATCAGGGTGCACAGGTGACCTGGGTATCACTCACATGAGGTCTGTCATGAGGTCGGTTGCCATCGAGGTGTTGGCCACAGCTGTTTTCATATGAGGGCTGTACTCAGAGGACATCTTCTTCCAGACGTCCACACATGGTGTGGTAGTCCCCATGATATGGACCTCCCTCTCCAACATGGCACCTGTTATATCCCCCGGGGTATTGGTCTAACCGAATGCTCATGACAAAAGCTGTAGCTTTTTTTAACCTACTCTTGGAAGAAGAAGCTCAGCCTTCCTGCTATATTCTATTCACCAGAAGATAATCACTAAATCCAGCATCACTCACGGGAAGGAATCACAGAATGGGAATACCAAGGGGTAAGAAAAACTGGGGAGACATCTTAAGACTGTTTACCACAAACGGCCAACTATTCTTCTTTTCTTTATTTTTAAAAAGATACTTATATTTAATTATGTCTATGTGTCTGTGTGTGGGGATGTGTCTGTAAGTGCAGCAGAGACATCAGATCCCCCTGGATCTGGAGTTACAGGCAGTTATAAAGCACCCAATGTGAGTGCTGAGAAATGAACACAGGTCTTCTGCAAGAGTAGTATGTGCACTTAACCCCAGAGCCATCTCTCCAGCCCTGCCCTTCATTTTAAAAGATACCTCCTTATGTGTGTCCTCTGATATGGAGCTTCATTCATGTACCTTAGAATTAAAAAGTTTGAAATATCGCTGGGCGGTGGTGGCGCACGCCTTTAATCCCAGCACTCGGGAGGCAGAGCCAGGCAGATCTCTGTGAGTTAGAGGCCAGCCTGGGCTACAAAGCAAGTTCCAGGACAGGCTCCAAAGCTACACAGAGAAACCCTGTCTTGAAAATCCAAAAAATAAAAAAAAAGTTTGAAATGTCATTTAAAAATGAGATAACACTCTTTTTCAGGCTTATTTATTTTCTTTTATGTGTATGAATGTTTACAGGTGTGTGTACCACATGTGTGCCTGGTGCACATGGCGGTCAGAAGCAGGAGATGGATACCCTGGAAATGGAGTTTTGGGGGATTGTGCACCACTGTATGGGTGCTGGGAACTGAACCCTTGCCCCTGCAAAGCAACAGGGCTCTTAACGCCCGAGTCATCTCTCCAGCTCCTGAAAATATCATTTTACAGGAGCATTGTGGACTCTTCTAGCCTAAGAAGCTTTCAAGAAGATTTTTTTCATTAATTACATTAATTGTATTGATTTATTACATTCATGATATTATATCCTGATACTACTGTCTGTTTGTGGGTCAAGAAGATTTTTAAAAATCCAATTATCCTCTCCAACCCCTGCTTCTTCAGATATCTGAAAGCAAACCCCTTTTCTATGCTGGATCAAACCAGGGTCCTGTGCATTTTAGGCACTGTCCCTACCACCCAGTTACATTCCCAGGCCTAGAAGTTAACTTTTTTGAATGATGTAGCTCCGCCATCCATTTCTTCTTTCTTATGTCCCATTTACTCAACATTCCCAATATTGGCACCTACCCGTACAGCTCCACTAAAGTTGTTTCCTTACCTGGTCTTGCTCCATAGAATTTTTTTTAAAAAACTAAGAACCCATTTATCTATTTATTAGGGTGAGTATGTGGGAATCAGATGGCAGCTTTGTGAGAATCGATTCCTTCTTTGCTGGAACTAGAACTCGGATCGTTGGGTTTGGCGACAAGTGTCTTTGCCCACTGAGCCATCCCTCTGGCCCTCCTTCCCCTTCTCCTAGGCTTCTGATACCTTCGATGCCCGCTGTCTCAACATGTTTTCTTCTGTTGGCCAACACTGTACTTCTTTGTTTTCTTCTACTTTCTGCCTACCCATAAATTTCCCTTTTTGGCTTCTTACTGCTATCACAATCAGAGTCTAAGCTTCTCCACACGTTTCCAAGGCCATGCATTAACTATATACACAAAACTCTGCTTTTCTCTTCTCTTTGGTGGTCTCTATTTCTACCTCTATAGTCAAGCTACCCTGATAGTCTTTAGGCCTTGCTGTCCCAGTGTATTCTGGACCTTTACATAAACTCATCCCTCTACTTGTCTCGCCCTGTCTCTTCTTTACTAGTTCATACACATCAGGCTACTTCTTCCCTCAGTGGTCCAATCGGAGATACAAACAGTGGTGAAGTAGGAAAGGGTCTTATTTCAGTGTGGCCCCGAAGATGGGTTATCATCCGAAGCCTTGCTTTCTTAGAACCACACTAGCTCTAGGACAATATGGAAGAAGAGCACAAGAGGAAGGCTGGGGGGCACCACAGTAGCCAAGCAGTCTTGGGTCAAATTGTATTCTGGCTCCGAGAGTCTTGCTGGAGCTAAAGAGATGATGGACTGCGTGGCTTCTTGTTTCTGGTACTTTCGATAAGCTAGGAAGGCAAAGTGACTTAGAGAAAGAAAGCCTAGAGGAGAAAAATAGTTAGTTGGGGTACTCACTAGACAGCCCCTTCAGGTTTATGGCAATGACGGGGGACTTTTAGGGGCCACTCCAATGGTCTGGAATGGGATGTTGTAAAAGCTGGTAGTTGATTGTCTGTTGATGTTGATGTCCCCATAAGTCTAGAAAATGCCTGACTCTTATCTTGACGCCCTCTGCCTCGAAGGGGGGACAAGCAGAGCTAGGTAGGTAAATTTTGGACTAAAAAACTAACCATGTATTGTGAGTCTGCCTGGCTCTGCCTCCTGAGTGCTGGGATTAAAGGCGTGAGCCACCACTGCCCAGAGGTATTGTGAGTTTTAAACAGGCATTCTGTAAATGATCACGTGCTGTTTAACCCTATCACGGTTAGACAGCAAATTGGCTCTTACAGTGTGCTGGGTACCACTCGAAGAACTTTGTGTATTAACCTATTGGATGCTTACGGTAGTGGCTTGAGTTGGTATCACTTGTGGGCATCTTTAACAGTTGGGTAACTAGCGTTGGCCTCACTGTACTGCATTACCCCCTACTCTGTCTCTCTCATCTCTCATGGAACTATAAAATCTGTGAGTCTGTCTTTTTTTTTGGTTTTTCGAGACAGAGTTTCTCTGTGTAGCTTTGCGCCTTTCCTGGATCTTGCTCTGTAGACCAGGCTGGCCTCGAACTCACAAAGATCCGCCTGCCTCTTGCCTCCTGAGTGCTGGGATTAAAGGTATGCGCCACCACCGCCCGGCTGAGTCTGTCTCTTTTCTGAGTTGTGGGTGCCTAATCCATGTTGGTAGAACGGATGCTGAGTAAAACTTTCCTTTCTCTGCAGCCCAGGAGTCCAGATCTGTTCATGTAGGAGATGGCAATGTGAAGGGAATGATGGGTCCTGGTAAGTGGTTCTTCTTGGCTTAAGTTTTTATTATCATATTCCTGTATAATTCCATGTGTGTGTACACATGCTACTGCACAGGTATGGAGGTCAGAGGACAACTGTGTGGAGTCATTCTCTCATGTAGGGTTTCTAGGAATTGAACTCAGGTTGTTGGGCTTGCAAGGCGAGCCTTTCACCTGCCGAGCCAATTAACCGGTCCAGGCACCTTTCCTGCTCTACTGGACCGTCCTGAGCCAAGGAGGAAAGGACTCTGACAAATGCCTGACAAAAACCACTGAAGGGAGATAAGGTTTATTTTAGCTCCCAGTTTCCAAGGTTTCAATCCAAGGTCAGCTCACCGTGTTGCTACCGATATTAGATGAACAGAACAAACAGCATGATGGGAAGCCTGTGGCTTAAGGCATTGCTCACTTCATGGCACCCAGGAAGCAGAGGGAATAATAGGAAGGAACGGGGACAAGGTACACATTACAAGGGCATGTCCCCAGTGATCAGTTTCTCCCAGATACGCCCTGCCTTTCATGGTTTTATCACCTCCCAATAGTCTAGAAATGGAATCCATTGTTGGGTTAGTCTACTAGGGAGGTAGAGCCCTCCTTACCCAGTCACTTCCCTGAAGCCCCGACTCTGGCCACTGCTTGCATCAAGGACCACACCTTCAACCCATGACCTTCTGTGTGGACACTTCACATCCAAATCATAGCATTGTTTTCATTTACATTCCTATACATGTGGTGGAGTAGTGACTCATTTAAATCATGGAGAGGGAAGAGCTGGTAAAATTTAAGAACAAATCAGTATTCTTAATTCTTTCCTGTTCCACTTACTAATAAGCTAACGTTTGCTCAAGCGTCACAGGGGAATACCCCACGACACCAATTTTTCTTACATCACATACTTTGTACTTCAATCCAAAATTTACTTCGTTGATAATTCACCAGAACTTACGCATTGTTTTATCTTCCCTCCATTCTTTCCTTTTCCCGTTTCTTCCAGCTTAGCATCCGTAGGATAAAGGGACTAAATAGCAAACAGGACATCCTCTGCCACCCAGATGTCTTTGGTACCTGCCCCTCTCTTCCTGCTGTATTCCGCCTAACAGTGCTGCAGACACCTCCTGTGTTTACCTGAAAGCAAGCAGCTACAGGGAGTCAACCCTGCTGCTTTAAATCACACTGTATCACACAGTTTCTAGTCTAGCAGTCTGATCTACTGAGTCACAGTCTCATGTGTGTAGCCTGACTGGCCCTGAACTTTCTACAAAGCTAAGGACACCATTGAGTTCCTGACCCTCCTGCTTTCTATCTCCCAAATTATGACAGGCATTGTACTACCATGGTGGGGTTTTAAAAAAACTTCCTTATTTTGTGGTGTCTGTGTACAAAACAGACACAAAAACAAAACAGAAGACATACGGACCAGAAAAAGAGAGAGGTGACTGCTTGCAGTTTGGGAAATGTTTAATGCTTCATTGATATATCAATACACATCCATCTAGCAGTATATTAAGAGTTAGTAACAAGCACTATTTTCTTTCTCAAAAAAAAAAAAAAAAAGAAAGTTCTTTCTAGCAGGCATTGTTTTTCAGGAGGGAACCCAGCAAATCCAGAAGCAGACGAAAGCCTTAAGCCCTCTCTCTCAGCTGAGATCCAGTCCAAGGGCTATCACACACCGGGCCTGTGGAGACAGCCTAAGGATGGCAAAGAGTGGGCCGAGGAACATGTCACAAAAGATCACCCAGATAAACTCAAGGAGGCTGGCCAGGGCAGACACAGCTCCTTGGAAAACGTTTTATGTGAAACCTCTTTAGCTGGTAAGTTCTGAGGGGGGATGTGGGTGGAAATATGGAAGGATGAGGCGTACAAGGGTTTGGAGCAGAAGGACTAGACCCCCACCAAGCAGTGTGGATGGAGTGAACACAGGACACCACCTTGTATCTTTTCGGGATGAAGCCCCTAATGCCTACAGCGGTGAAGGGACGCAGCAGAGGTCACATACCCTGGTGGGACCACCACCTTGATTCTGGGTATTTGTGACATTCTGTATTGTGGTGCTTCGGCAAAATAGAAAAAAAAAAAAGCTAAGGTTCTTGGAATATCTATTTAGTCAGGGATATAGAGTTTGTCATATGCCAATCATTTATTAATAATCTGCCACCAAGATATCACACACTGCGACAAGTTCTTGTCTTCCTCCTTTTTTCTCTATCCTTCCTTTCCTTCATATAGTAAGTGAGCACTGACAATAGCAGTCTCCACATCTGGGGGGAGGTCATTTTTCTTAATATTATTTTCAATCAAATACATGAAAATTAAATGGAACTAAAAGCTTTTAAATTTTTATTAACAAGGAACATGAGCCACCACTTTGAATTCTTTTTTTTTTTTTTTTGGTTTTTCAAGACAGGGTTTCTCTGTGTAGCTTTGGAGCCTGTCCTGGAACTCACTCTGTAGCCCAGGCTGGCCTCAAACTCACAGAGATCCACCTGCCTCTACCTCCCGAGTGCTGGAATTAAAGGCGTGTGCCACCACCGCCCGGCCCCCGCCACTTTGAATTCTTTCTGACAGTTTCTCTTGGTACTCGTGTCCTTAATTCCTTAAATTGCTGTGTAGAACACTGCAACCAAGGCAACTTATAGAAGACATCATTTAATTTGGCTTCCAGGTTCAGGGGGTTACAGGTCACGATGGTGGAGCAACGTCAAGGCTGAGAGCTCACATTCTGACTCACAACCACGAGTCAGAGAGAGGGAGCACTGGGAATCACGGGAGTCCTTTGAAACATCAAAGCCCGCCCCCAGTAACACACTTCCTCCAACAAGGTCACACCCTCAATCCTTCCCAAACAGTTCCACCAACTGGGGGCCAAGTATTCCAACATATGAGCCTATGGGGGCCATTCTCATTCAAACCACCACAACTTGCTTCATATTTTATGCTATTTTGTAAACAATACTTTGTTGAAAGATAATTTACATAGAGTAAAATTCTTGGAGCTACATTTAAACTTAAAAAAGTTTTTAATGTGTATGTGTATATGTATAGTGTGTGTGTGTGTGTGTGTGTGTGTGTGTGTGTGTGTGCAGTTGTGCGTGCTTACAGTGATGCATGCTATAGTGTGAGTATGGAGATTGTGTGGTAAGTGCTCTAACCACTGAGAAATCTTGTGGGCCTCCGCTTATGAATTTAAAGAAATATCTTATTAATTCTTTGAGAGTTTATTTTGATCATATTTACCCCCGTCCCACCCTTTAACTCCTCACAGACCCACCCTTCACAGCTCCATTCCCTGACACTTTCGTGTCCTCATTTTGTTTTGTTTTTATAGAAATATTCAGTTTGTGCTGCCTGTAAGCTCCAGGCTATGGGGGCCTGTCACTGGAGCATTGTTGACCCATTGGGGGCCATAACTTTAAGGAGAACTGACTCACCCTCTCAGCTTGACTTTTGACATAGGAATATTGACTGTGATCACTATCAAGATCACCATACACATTTCTGTTATGCTAGGAATTTCTCCCATGCTTCATGTTAGTTAACATCTGTGTAAAGAACCACTGTAACTACTGTGTAGTTTCATCTGTCCTCAAACTTCATATAAATGGGATAATACTTTGTGTATTCTTTTTTTGCCTGGTATCTTTCTCTTAATACGTGTTTTTGAAATTCATCATTGTTGCATGTAATTCATTCAGTAGTTTGTTCTTTTTTATTAACCACACTGCATGTCATTATCACATTTTTTTTGGTATTTTTTGAGACAGGGTTTCTCTGTGTAGTTTTGGTGCCTGTCCTGGATCTCGCTCTGTAGACCAGGCTGGCCTCGAACTCACAGAGATCCACCTGGCTCTACCTCCTGAATGCTGAGATTAAAGGTGTGCACCAACAACACCTGGCCATTATCACATTTTTAAAAAATCCATAATCCAGAACTGGAGAGATGGCTCAGTGGTTAAGAGCACTGGCTGCTCTTCCAGAGGATCCGAGTTTGATTCCAACACCCACATGGCAGCTCACAACCAGTCCTGAGGTTTTTGTTTTTCTTAATGTAACAAAACCTCTATCATTTCTATCTTTTTTATCTTTAAAGCATTTTGCTGAGAGACCTCAGACACCTCACCCCACCTGTGGCCCATTACACTACTGTCATCCTGGCTTAGTGGGAAACCATTTTCTCTCATCAGCGTGAAGCAATTCTTAATGTTGCCATGGGAGAGCCCGACATTGCTCTCATCTTCAGTCTTTGAATATTACCCACTGTTTCTGTCTGGTAACATTTTTTAAAACCAGGAATTGAATCTATTATATATATATATTTATATATATTATACTACATTATATATACATATACGTATACGTATGCATATACACACACATGCGCACACACCTATTTCTTTGAGCAGGTACACAAACACTATGGGGCATGGGTTGGGGTCCAGAGACAGCTTTTGAGAGGCAGTCCTGTCTTTCTACCTGGTAGGCCCTGGGGATGGAACTCAGGTCCGTCAGGCTTAGCAGCAAGTGCCTTTACTCTCTGAGCCATCTTGCTGGCCCCTCCATTAACTTTTAGGGTCTTCTCTTTATACCCAGAGGGCTACAGCTTCACACGGCTGTGGTGGTCCTTGTGATGATGTGGGATCTTTTTCGTTATTTATGCAGAGGATAACGGGCCTTTCCTCTGGTAACACATGTCCTGGGATGCCCCCCTCCCCATTAATTCATTATTTATGCAGAGGATAACAGGCATCTCCTCTGCTAACACATGTCCTGATAACACATGTCCCCCCTCCCCATTAATTTTGTAATATCATCCAGCCATAGTTTTTCTTTTCTTTGAAGCTTGTAATTTAATGTTAGATTCCCTGACTTCATTTTTTCATGGGCCAGATTTTCCTTCAGTGTGCCTTTTCTCTTCTGTGCTTGGCTTCCTTTGGGAGAGAGTGAGGGGAGATGCCTTTGACTCCAGCCACCCTTAAGTTTGTCTATGTTTTTAAAAAAATGTCAAGATGTTTCTTTTTTTAAAATAGCATCCAGTAATTGTTAAATGGCTAGAATATTTTGCATATCTTTTTGAGAATATTAATTGTAAGATTTAATTTTCACATACATGTGTATTCATCTTCTCTCTCCCATGGCATATCCTTATTCAAATGTCGCAGTATCCTTAATTATTGATGTGTTCAAGAAAGATTATCCCCCAAAAGAAAGAAAGAAAAAACACCCCACCCCTCAAATAACCTGGAATTTTGTATTATCCAAGTTTGTCAATAGTGAGCTTCATTATAAATATGCTTTAATAATACGGTGGCAAATTTACATATTGGTAAGTGATCTCTCTAGGTCCATGTCTTAGGGTCTCCTGTCCTACTTGGGAAGTTCAATGTATCAAGTGGCAGGCTGCCCAGTTTCCTGCCAAGAGTGTTTAAGCCTGGCTGCTGGCACTCTGGGACCTGAAGGCGAATGTGGTCAAGGGGTGTCTCTTTCTCTTAGCCGCTCACTCTGTCTTCATCTTTAGCTCAGGCTAGGCCTTCTCTATGGTGCTGTTTCTCCCATTTCTTGTGGGATTCTGCAAGTTCAATCTGGAGGCTCCTGCAGTTTATGCAGATTTACCTCACTTGCTTCCGGCCACTCATGTCTCCGGTCCCTCGGCCTCTACTGCTTCTTAGCGGGTTCTAAGTCTGCGGACACATGATTCTGTGTCCTTTGCTTTGCTGCATAAATCTCTTGTCTCCATTCTGCTTTTCATCTTGCCCAAATATGCTGATGCCTTTCTCTCTCTCCTTCCGTCCACCTCCTTGCCTTCACTTCCTTTTTTCTATTTTGTCTCAAGGGGCTCAGGCTGGCTACATATCTGAAGATGACCTTGGATTTCTGATCCTCCTGCCTTCCACTCCTGGATTACAAGTGTGCACCACCAAGCCTGGTTTATGTGGTGCTGGGACCGAAGCCCAGGGCTTCTTGTATGCTAGGGAACACTGCCAACTGAGTTTTCCATGTGTTTTTATCCATTTCTTGCCTGGCTTAGTGTTTGGGAGGGAGTTGACTAACAAAAAAAATCCCCTTGGGTTTGTTTTAAAGCAAAAAGGCAGACCGTGGCTCTCGAGCTGCTTGAGTCTGAGCGGAAATACGTCATCAACATCTCTCTGATCCTGAAGATAAAGGCAACGTTCCAGGGCTCCGACGGAAAGAGGAATTCCAAGGAGAGAAGGTACCAGTGTGCTCATTGCCTTTGCTTTTCAGATTGACTAGGATTTAAGGTAAGTCATTCACCGATTCGACCTTGGGAATTCTGGGCCCTAGAGAGTCCCAGAAACAGCCTTTGAAAAGAGAATAGGCAGTGACCACAAGTCTCAAACTTAGGTTCTCAGCAGGTAGAAAGTGAGTACAGTCCGTGGGTCCTTCAGTCTGTGACAAGTCTGTTCAGAAATAAAGCGAGGCGTGTGTGTCCTCAGGGATGATAGACCTCATCGAAGACCCAGGAAATGGATGTGGCGGAGTTCTGAGTACTAGACAATGATACCGGCTGATAGAAAGAACTCCCGTTCAGGTGATCCCATAGCACCAGGCACTGTGGAAGAGTGTACACCTAGGGGTGTGTGTGTGTTGGGGGTGGGGGTGGGGAGTAGTGCTTCCAGCATACTGGCCCTAATGTTACACTGTGTACCTGCTTCTACTCTTTACTCCCTCTGTTGGGAGAGAACAGGAAAGAGAAAAAAGCAAGGCTTGGAGGAAAGGACTAATGTAATAAAGATGAGCTAATGCAGGGTGAAGCGAAGAAAAGAACAATCCTGTGAACGGGAAGTCTGGATCATGTGATATTATTACCTTCAGCATTCTTTCTATAAGGCGGTAAACAGTTCATCGGTTATGAATCTACCGAAGGACGTTCCCATTGTCCTGCTCCTTACGGTTCTTCCCATTTACTTGACTTTACCGCCATGCCACATGCCCTCCGACCCAAGCCCAAACACCCAAACGCCCACCCCAACTAAATGACTGAGGTGAGGAACTGTTCCCCAACTCACAAGGGTCTTGACTGATTCCGAGGATTATTTTTACCACAAAATGGAGGTAAACAAAATATAGACACGACATGGCAAACCCTTGACTTATAATGACGGCTCTAGACTCTTGCCTCACCTTTCCACAGTGGCCTGATCTTTCTCTTCCTACCCCATCTGACCACTTGATTTCCGGCCCGGAGACCCCAGCATAGCCTGGCTTACTCTTCCACGTTCTCCTCCAGGGCTCTGGGAAGGTTCTGGACTTTAGCTTTTTTTTGTTTTGCCAAGCACACGCCCAGTTTCCATGACTCAAATAGAAAGGGAATCTACCTTTTAGTGTGGCTTTGCTTCGCTACCTAAGATCCTAAGCAGCAGTGTCTTTTTCTAGTTTCCATAAATTTGGGGCTTTCGGATAAAAGCAGGAAAGAAACACATACCCTGGAACAGTGTCCTGGGTCCTATGCTCTACATGTGATCTGGAACTCCATGACTCCTCGCCCGCACTGGCGCATGTAGCCCCAGGGCAGAACACTTACCATCCAGGAGGCCCTGGGTGCAATCTCCACACTGGAAAAAGAATGGCCAGAACCCTGTGATTTCTACATTGTAGAGGAAGACTCTAAGGTCTGGAGATGCTCACAGCCACATGGCCCGTTAGTGCCAGAAGTTAAATGCAGGCCATTTTGACCCGTCCCCTGAGCTTTTTCCAGGCCCATCGGTTTTTCTAAGGGTCTCATGGCCTCTAGGACACCATCCTTACCAACAGTAATATGTGAGGGTTTTTGAAGAACCAGATGCATGAATGTATCCTTTCCTATTTCAGAACCCAGGCTGTTCTCTTGAAGAGTCCAGCAAGTCTTACTTCAGGTCTCAGTCGATGTGTCAAACCAGGATGCTAAATATGTTCCTAGCTCCCTGAATAGTCAAGTCTTTTTTACTTAGTCTAGTCACTTCCTGACTCTCTGGTGTTCTCTCACGACCTATCACTGAGGACTGAGTGGATCTCTACTCTTATGAGATTAAAAAAAAAAAAAAAGACAATTATATAATCTCCAATACAGGTAAGGTAATCCTTATTCCACCACATCCATGACAATGCTGTTCATGTTGGTTGTCAAGGTAACCGTCTTTTTGCTCTTCATCGGTCAAGCAGCACAAAGCGTCAACTCGGAGTGTTGTTACTCAAAGTGCAGTGTCTTGTCCTGGCTCTGGCAGTGTTGGCTTTTTCTATCCTACGTCCTGGGTTTCATCATCCTCTTTTTCCTGCTATAGTTCTTTTTTGCAAGCTCTTCTGAGACCCCGATGCACTTTTTTTTTTTTTTTTTTTTTTTTTTGGTTTTTCGAGACAGGGTTTCTCTGTGTAGCTTTGCGCCTTTCCTGGAACTCACTTGGTAGCCCAGGCCGGCCTCGAACTCACAGAGATCCGCCTGGTTCTGCCTCCCGAGTGCTGGGATTAAAGGCGCGCGCCACCACCGCCCCCCCGATGCACTTTTAAATAGATCTATTGGCAATTTCTTCCCTGAGAATTTATTTGCTGACTTCCCTCATCACAAACCACAAGGTGTCAGCGCTTACCACCCGGCTGGAAACAACCCGGGGTGAAGTTAGCGGTGAGAACCAGACCCTCAAACCTGACATTGCCACATCTTCTCAGACCTATAAAATACACCCTTAGGATTTCCCTAGAAAACAAGTGAATTGCTCAAGAGAGTCCTCAGTCGTTTCAAGCCAGCCCTGTGTATTCTGAACCCTGGGAGCTGTAGGGCACTTGCTGCCTGAGGAAGCCTAGGTGGAACCTGGGGGCCATGTGCGAGAACGTTACAGAACTTAGGGTTCTGGGCTTATTCCGGTGTGCCTCATTTTAAGATCGAGCAGTCCTGAGGACACCTGTGGGAAGGACTGCTGTTTCCTCCAATGAGCTGAACTCAGGGCCACATCTTCCAAGACGTGACGAGCTCTGTACTGCAGATTGCACGTGTTTAATTATCGGAATCCATTCGGTGTGGTTCGGTGTGGTTGGAAACCGCTGCTCTTAAAGCCAGGCATTATTTTGGCCCAATTCTGAATTGGCAAGGACAACTTAACTGATTTGAAACTATAAGTGGATTTTCCTCGATGCCTTTGATTTTGTTTTCGTCACTATTTAATTACTATATTGGGGAGGGGACAGAGAACTTTGAAAGCTACAGAAACCATTGATATTGCATAATAAAAAAAATAGAACCCTGGAATATTGCATCTGGGAGTCAGGCCTGGAAAAGGGGGGGAGAAGTCTTTTGTATCTGGAGCTTCTGCGGATGCAGCTTTGCTCTGTGGAATCACTTGGAATTCAGCCAGGCTCAGGTCTTCTCCCAGCCTGCCTGCTCCCTAGCCTCTGTTCCGAATCCCTCTCTGGTCTGAACTGATTATTTAGACCTTCCAAGAGCACTTTGCTGTGAGTGAGAGCACAGATCAGGAGGCCTCTCCATTTGTCTTAGGGCCAGCTGGCTTTGTGTCTGCCAGCACTCATGGACCAGGAGACTAAAGTGGATCTCGGCAGTGGCGGGTTTCTTCGCATTTCTCAGAAGAGAACTCAGAACCCTATTCTGGTGTTTGTCTCTTCTCTGAGCCACAGCTCCGTGGAAGTCTTTGCTTTGCTTAGAAAAGGGTGGGGGGAACCTCCTCAGAATCCGACATCCTGTCTAATGACAGAGGTCTGCTTGTGGCCAAATCACCTCTATGGGCTACACACATGCATCCATCATACCCCTGGGAAATGTTTAAATAAGTTCAGCTGTGAGAGAGACAAGTAAGCCATCATATCTTTGTTAATGTATTGTGTTGGAAGCATAAGGAAATCTACTGGGAATTTCCCTGAGCCATCAATTAAGAGCTCAGAGCCGTGCTGTTGTGTAGCTAATTCCATAGTCTTCTGCTTCTTGACTTGCTTCTGGAGACACTCTTTATATTATCCTTCTCTAGTCCGGGCTCCCCTTTCCCTTAGAATCTAAGGCTTAGATGATTCTCTTTGTCTCTCTTTTCTCCACCCCCAGCCTCTGACTTCTCACTTCTTCATTTCCTCTGGGGGTTAAAAATGAGACACACAGCCGGGCGTGGTGGTGCATGCCTTTGATCCCAGCACTTGAGAGGCAGAGACAGGCAGATGTCTGTGAGTTGGAGGCCAGCCTGGTCTACAAAGTGAGGTTCAAGACAGCCCAGGCTGTTACGCAGAGAAACCTTGTCTGGAAAAAAATCAAAATTAATCAATCATCAATCAATCAATCAATCAGGTGCACACGCTGGTAGAGGAAAGAGATTTGAAGTAGGAAAGAGGCTCTATAAAACACGAGGAAGTGGTTGACTAGCCTGTAGTCTGCAGAATACAGACAACAGAGCATCCTTGCCCAGTTTGCCTCTTTGGAGCTGAAGGAAAAATATTTGCAAGCTCCTTTATGTCTCAACTCCCCTGAGCTTCCAGCCGCCAATGTTAGCCAAACCTTACCACTGACTCAAGTGGCAGTCTTCTAGCCAGTAGCTAAGAATAGATTGTTTGGGTATCAATGTTTTGGAATCGAAAACACTGAAAAGGATTCCTTTAGGATTTCTACAGAGTGTGGCATACATGAAACTGTCCCAGGGTGGTTTTTTTTTTTTTTTTTGGTTTTTCGAGACAGGGTTTCTCTGTGTAGTTTTGGTGCCTCTCCTGGAACTCACTTGGTAGCCCAGGCTGGCCTCAAACTCACAGAGATCCGCCTGGCTCTGCCTCCCGAGTGCTGGGATTAAAGGCGTGCGCCACCACCGCCCGGCTCCCAGGGTGGTTTTTAGCAGGTCATTCCTGTGATGTAGTCTTTATTGTTTGGTTAATTCACGTTTGCATAAGGGGCCTTATCTAATTGTCTGAGGATAGCTTCTTTGCTGAAAAGAAATGTAAAATCTAAATACAGATCTGTGAGGGTGTTTTGAGTGATTGAAAATGGCGCCTGCTGTGTTTATTCTTATGGGGTTCTCTCTGTAATTCTCCCTTTGTTCTGTCTCAAGCCTCTTCCCTGGCTCCTTGCGCTACCTTGTCCAGCAGCACTTGGATTTGCTTCATGCCCTGCAGGAGAGGGTCCTGAAATGGCCACGCCAAGGAGTCCTTGGAGATTTATTCCTGAAGTTGACAAATGATGAGGTAAGGTGTCTCCCCCTCTGTACTCTGAATGGATTTGTGTCTCACTCATCTGCTTCTCCTAATGGAGAAGCAAGAATTAGCACATTTCAGAGTTAGAAGCTCTGATACCAAGTCTAACCTGCTCATGCTACAGTTAATGGGGTAGGTTCCTGGAGATTCAAAGGCTTTGCTGAAATCACCCGGCTGGCAAGGTAGTTGGTTATCTATGACTGGAACCCTGTTACGTCTCCTACCTCCTGATTCATGACTTTGTAGTATACTATTGTGGCCTCTATTGACTATGCATATATATGTGTATATGGATTTATACATGTGATTTTTATATACATGTGCATATATATCATATATACAAGTATATACATGCTTGATAATATATATCATATATGCTTGTGTATATCATATAAAATAAACATGAGGTAGAGTATATATTTTTTTCATATATAATTTTCATTCTTTATAGATTTTTAAATAAGATAGATGGCTGTTTGTCTTAAATGTCTCTTGTTTCAATTCCTTAAAAAAGTGCTGAATTTTGAACTCTCTTTAATGTTATACCAAGAACATATTCAGACCAGAAGTTGAAAACCCAAATGTCCCCAGGATCAGACAATGGTGTATATAATACAATGAATTGAGTTAAAACAATGTGGATTGATGGGAATTTGATGGAGTAGACAGCAATTGTTTTGATACAAAGAATAGCTACTCAGATCTGTCCAATTATTATTTAGGAAAGACTAGAGTTATTAGATTGTTGTTTTAAAAGAAATGAGATTGAGAGTTTTATGTAAAATGTTCTTATTTTTAAATAGTGTGTGAGGCAATTAAAGTTGGCCCATGAATCAGTGCTTGCCTGCATCTTCATCAACGTTTCTTAGCAGCAGAAAACAATACAAATTTACACCTTATTTACTTATGTAGAAGACAGTACATGTAATGCCATGTCTCTAGTATCACCTTTGCTTGCATTCAGCATGCTTTTTGGAGCTAGGAGTTATACATACGGGGAAATAACTTCGGAAGCTATGAACTGTTTTCTTGAAGGAAAACTGCATTGGTGAATATGCATTAGTTAAAATAGGCAACTAGCTGAAAACATTGAGAACTGCTGGGTTGTGTGAAGCTTCTCATATGGATTATAGATGAATACTGTGAAAAGCAATTATACATACAAAATATGTATTTTTCTCATTTAACAATTTAAGAGTACTTTAACCTACACAACCCTAAGTTCTTCCCTTCTCTCTCTCTCTCTCTCTCCTCTCTCTCTCTCTCTCTCTTTGTTTTTTTTTTAAGTTTTTCGAGACAGGGTTTCTCTGTGTAGCTTTAGAGCCTGTCCTGGAACTCACGCTGTAGCCCAGGCTGGCCTCGAACTCACAGAGATCCTCCTGCCTCTGCCTCTCGAGTGCTGGGATTAAAGGCGTGCGCCACCACCGCCTGGACTTCACTACTCTCTTGTCACGAAGGTAGAACTGTTGGATTTTGGCTCCCACATTGTAGTAATGTTTATCTTAAAACCAAAACTATTTTTTTATAGACATAGTCTCATGAATCATTGACTGTCCTTGAACTCGCTATGTAGTTGAGGATGGCCCTGAACTCCTGGTTCTCTTGCCTCTTCTTCTCAAGTGCTAAGATTATACATGTATACGTTCCATCACACACGTCTAAACATCAAGGAAACAGAAGACTCTTTCAAAAGATTAACAAGGGACTGGGGAGATGGCTCAGAGGTTAAGAGCAGCACTTGCTGCTCTTGCTGAGGATCGGGGTTGGTTATGATAATCTACACAGTCACTCACAACCATCTGTAACCCCAGTTCCAGGCTATTTGATACCTTTTGGCCTCTGAGGGCACCAGGCACTTACATGGGGTACATATATACATGCAGACAAACGCTCAACACACATAAAATAAATCTTTATAAAGAAGATGAAGAAAACCTCCAAGAGCAAATAAAGAACATAGTTGATAAATTATTAAAATATTCTCTGAGCCGGGTGGTGGTGGCACACGCCTTTAATCCCAGCACTCGGGAAGCAGAGCCAGGCGGATCTCTGTGAGTTCAAGGCCAGCCTGGTCTACAGAGAGAGATCCAGGACAGGCACCAAAACTACACAGAGAAACCCTGTCTCGAAAGAACAATAAATAAATAAATAAAATATTCTCTGAATTCTACTTCCTTTTTATGTTCGTGCTGCTATAAAAATGTCATTCCTGTTTTCGGGTTCTTACCATGCATTTTTGTGTTTGTTTTAAAGAATAATTTCTTGGATTATTATGTTGCCTACCTGAGGGATTTACCCGAATGCATCTCCTTGGTTCATGTTGTGGTTCTGAAGGAGGTAAGTTGACTCTAGGCACATGCTGTCCTTCTTTTACACACCATCTCTATCACGTTGCTGATCCACTCCATGGTACAGTAGGTGCCCTGCGAGCTTCTTTTCCAGGCTGAGGAGTGCCTTGAACATGTGACAGATGCCCCTCTTCTGGGTTAAAGGAGTCTGATCAAGGATCAGAGCCATTGCTCTGCTCTGTGCAATGCTTTAGTGACCCATTGAATGACAGACAAAGCAAATAGGCCTTCCAGAGTTCTTCAGCACGCAGCGTGTGCGCTGTTTTCAGGCTCAGAAAATATGAGTCTCAGTACTGGGTTCCAACCATCCTTTGTCACGTGGCTCCATCACGCTCCTTTAAGCACGGCCCCTTCAATGATATATTAGAGTTTGATATGCATATCTACATGTACGTTGTGGTTGTTTTTTTTAAGTCAACAAGCAAATTGTGTATCAGAGCCCTAAAGCTGAGAGTAATTGCATCTCACAGGAGATGAGAATCCATGTCTTACTTCCTACTTCACCTCCCAACCAAGGCATGCTAGCATTCAGTGAATGTCTGCAAAAAGGAAGAGAAAGGACGTTACAGATGGGGAGACCATTGTATTTTCTGCTTGTAGGCTTACTGACCAATATCTGAGCACTTTCCTGTCTCCACTCTTGAGAGGCTCTGGTGCACTCTTAGCGTCTATTAGCAGGTGACTTGCTGGAAAACCGTCATGCATTCATTAATTCAAGTCCAGCTTACTGAGTGCCTATTGCTGTCTAGCACTGAACTTAGAAGGGCTGGGAAAGGAAGGAGCGGTTTGGAAACTTGGATCGATTTAAAAGAAGTATGTGTTATGTTCCCTGTATGAGAAGAGTTGTCTCTTTGGGCATGACCCTGAACATGCGGCCTCTCCAGGGGGAGAGAGCAATGTTTCGTGACAATCTGGAAAGAAAATGCTTTGGAAATAAGCATTTCCTGCCTGGTGGGAGGAATCTCTGGTGTTGCGTTTGCAGTGCTGAAGAGTCACTCCAACCTTTTTTTCATTCAGGGTGATGAGGAGATTAAATCCGACATCTACACCCTGTTCTTTCACATAGTGCAACGCATCCCGGAATATCTGATACATCTCCAGGTGAGCCTGGCTGGAACAAGCCAACAGACTTTTACATTGTTTTTGGCTTCCAAATTAGCAAAATACTATAAAGGCTCAAGGACTCATTAGTATTTCTAAAAAGCAGTCACATGGCTTAGGTTGTTATGGTTACACCGCACTACACCATACCATACTGTGGAATGAGCTAAAATCTATTCTTGAATTTTTTGATTTATAATACTTGTCTTTGAAGTTCTATCTTTATGTACCAGCAATCTTCACTTCTGGGGGTCCAGGATCTTTTATAAACATTCTTTATAACATCTAAGTACCTTATTCAGTCCCCTCCTCTTTGGTTCTACAACCATCTAAATGTCACCTCTGACTTCTTAATTTCTGCTTAACATACCCACTAAACTACTATCCTGATGGCTTCTACTTGACTTGGGTCACAGTTCTAGCATACATTGTTCATGCTTTATGTTACCAATGAGTCATGAGGAGCCGATGAACAAATTCTTAATATAATTTTCCTATGGAGCCTGTAGAGGATGTGGAGTTGAGTTTAACAACTTTTTACTAGTAACACCTCTTCCTCCTGATACCCATCTGCTCTGATTTAAGGGTTGACTGATCTTAAATAGTTCAGTGAAAACATCCTAGAAATGCTTGTAATTAACCTCAGCTAGAAGCAGCGGAGAATCAATATTGAGCTTTTCACCCGGATATGGCTTTATGTCCTAAAAACATTTTCTCACAGTAATTATCTTATGGATCCTTTCAACAGTTTCACCAAACAGGTATTATTACCATTTTTCATAAGGACATGGAGGACCAAAGAAGTCACAGTACTGTGTTCACGATAACACACCTAGTAGGCAAAAACCTCAGCCTGAAGCTCAGGTCTTGCAAACACTAGGTAAAAAGGTCTGGGGGCTGCTCTCTAGTTTGCATTGAAATCCTTCTTCTATCATTTATTAGATGTGTGACCTGAAGAAGATCACCAAATTCAGTATCTCAGTTTCCTTACTTATTATATAGAGGGAATTACTGTTCCTATCTAACTGGGTTGTGGTAAACACTAAAGAAGATAATGAATATAAAATTGCTTAACTTCTGGCAATCGGAAGTATTCAACAAGTAAATAATATAGTCATTGAATGTTAGCTTCCTCAATCCCACTATAGTAGCACAGACGGTCTTTTGTTCCATGTTGTGCTACTATAACAAAATACTTGAGGCTGAGTATTTTCCAAAGGGAAGAGGTTTATTTTAGCCCACAGTTTTGGAGACCCAAAAGCATGGTGCTGGCATTGGTGTCTGGTGACCCCTCTCATGGTAAACACAGTGGGAGCATAGGTAAAAATGACAGGTCACACAGTGTGAAATAAGGGGGTGGTGCCCAGGCTGACTTTCCTGTAACTATTTTTCCCCCATAAGAACCCACTCTTTTAAAACCAGCGTTAATTCCTTCATGAGTAAGGTCAGCACCCGATCACATTTCATTAGGTCCCACCTCTTAAAGGTCCCACCACCTTTAGAAAAAATAATCATTACACTGTACATTAAGCTTCCAGCACTTGAACCTTTGGGAAATAAACCAGCCGACTGGATAGATGGACCAGTGTTTGGGTTGTTTCTATTGATTTGGTTTGAACTCACAGTAGCTCAAAGTGAGGTACAGAAGAGATTAAGCAACTTCTCAGCCTAACTGCGCACCCCTGATTCCTTTCCCCTTCCATCCAGAATGTTCTGAGGTTCACAGAGCAGGAACACCCCGACTACTATCTCCTGCTCGTGTGTGTCCAGCGCCTCCGCGTGTTTATCTCTCATTACACCCTGCTGTTTCAATGCAACGAAGAGCTGCTTATTCAGAAACGGAAGAAGCTCAAAAAGTAAGGTTGTGACGGTGCAGCGCCTGACAAAGGTTTCTGCGAAGAGGGGACAGACCAGGCACTTGAGTGGCTGGAATGGGATGAAGTGAGGCAGAAGGAAAGAGAGGGGGGGCGGTTAGGCTGGCCACGGGAGGGAGACACTATGGCCTGGTGGAAGTAACTAGAAGAAAAGCACCTTGGCTCTCTTGTTCCCTCCTGTGTTGCTTCCCTTAACTTTCCAGGTTCAAAGTTGCAGTTTAAAGGTCTGAATACAGTTGCCTTCATGAATGTAATAAACGTTCACTGAACACCTGTTGTGTGTTAGGTACTGTTGTGCCCAGTGAATATACCACAGTGAACAAAACCTGTCACGTGGGGCTTAGTCTTAGAGCCGGACAAGGAAGAGTAAGTTAGGTGTTAAAGAGCGGTGGGGATAAAAGTGTTGGGGTGTGTCTGAATAGATGTCACAGTTTGAGTGGGCATCATCTGGGCCTCAGGGAATAGAAGCAACCCATAGCAGAGCTTCTGGATTTCCTTAAACACCCCGTCCATCTGGAGAACACTATCATTTCTCTAGGGGTTTCCAGCTAGAAAGCCAGCATCTCCTGACCCAGTGTCCTCCTGACAGGTGTGTCTCAGTACCTTCCTGTATCCCCAAGCTCTTTTCAACCAACTGCCAGCTATTTATGTAAGCAACCTGGCTTATAGAGGGCTCCGGGGATAGAGAACCCATCACAGAGAGCTTCATCTGAGAGGCAAATCTATTTTTCATAGCATAATCTCTGAGTTCAGAGAGCCAGTCTCCTAGAATGTGCAACCTGAGATTTATTATTTCCGTTCTCTTAGGTCGTCTATGGCAAAGCTGTACAAAGGGCTGGCTTCCCAGTGTGCCAATGCTGGCCAAGATGCTTCACCCACCGGGGGCCCAGAGGCTGTCCGTGACAGTGGGATCCACTCAGAAGAAATGCTCCAGCCCTACCCTCCTGCGCCCAGTTCCGCCCCTGCTGTCACGTGAGCATCTGTTGCTATATTAACAGCCGAGCAGCTGATCTGATGCTTGGATCCCAGAGAACGCTAAGAGGCAGAGTTAGAAAGTGCTAACGGGTGGAAAGTAGAAATTCACTTTGTGAGTTCCTTCAGCTCTTGAAGCAGTGTACAGTAAACAGAGGGGGAAAGGTCTGCATTATACCCAGGCAAAACTATGGCTGTTACTACACTCTGTGTAGGGAAAATAAAAGTATCAATATTCCAAAATAAGAGTATTGGTGTAAGGTCACTTTTTTTTTCAGATCTGTAAATGTGAGTCCTAAGTTTCATTGTAAGATCGATGTCTTGCAATCCCTTAAGATACTCAGTGTTAGAGGCTAGAGAGATGGCTCAGAGGTTAAGAGCACTGGCTAGTCTTCCAGAGGTCCTGAGTTCAATTCCCAGCAGCCACATGGTGCCTCACAACCATCTGTAATGAGATCTGGTGCCCTCTTCTAGTATGCAGGCATATATGCAGGCAGAACACTGTACACATAATAAATAATAAAATCTTTTTTTAAAAAAAGATACTCAGTGTTAGTATCACATATGCGTCCATATACATTTCTGGTGAAGAATTAAAATATAAATAAATAGAATAAAAATTTTGGTCAGCGTACAGTAGTTCATTTATATCTGTCTGTTAAATAAGCAAAACAACAAAAATCCTATTTGATGGGTGTGCTATGTTGTTAAACTGTAAACATTGCTGTATGCTCCCAGACAACAAAACTCTAGAGACCCTGGGTAAATTCAGGTAGCTTTTACATTGTATTAATGTTTTGTGGGTGTTCATTTGAGATCACAATCAAGATACTTTACAGCCACGAAACTTTTAAAAAGTTTATTATAGAAATGTAAATTTTACACATTTGAGTTTATCCTCAAACAAAACAAAACGAAATCCAAACCAAAACAACAAAGTATATAGTGCTTTTGCAGAGGTCCCACATTTAGCCAGGCGGTGGTAGCACACGCCTTTAATCAGGCCAGCCTGATGTACAGAGTGAGTTCCAGGACAGCCAGGGCTACTCTTGATTATCCTGTTATCCTGTGTTATCACCATCCAGAGTTCAACAGTTTATTTCGGAACACAATTGTTCATGTGGGAAGATCTAGAGGCAGTATCAAGTTCACTTTCCAGTATTCTGTATGTGACGCTGCCACAGCAAAGGGAGAGAAATTGAAAAGGGATGTCTCGGAGTTGCCTGGTGGCAGGGAGGCTCGGAGCTTCCACCGGGCCAGTGATAACGTCAGCCTTTGTCTGTCGGCCATGAGATGCCTAAGTGACTTAGCTTGGAAGTCGAGACAGATGCCTTTCCTGGCCGCTGTTCCCACTCTTCCAGGCGGATTTAGGGATTCCTGAGAGAGCTCCCTAGTTAGTTAGTGGAGCTTGGTAGGTCACCGACGACGAAGGCACTTGGCAGGGGAGGAGAGGAGCTGGCCTCGGGCTGCGCGCTTGGAGAGAGCTCAGCACTGTTTGATCGTCTGTCTTGTGTTGTTTCCCCCTTTAAAGACATCTGATGCCCACGGCGAAGAAAGGCCAACAGCAGCAGAGCCTCATGGAGAGCATGCAGCCCGGCAAGCCGGGGGACTGGGAGATGGAGGGCAGAAAGCACGAGCGGCCCGAGAGCCTGCTGGCCCCGGCGCAGTTCTGCGCGGCCGAGCAGGACGTGAAGGCGCTCGCCGGGCCGTTGCAATCCATCCCGGAGATGGACTTCGAGCCGTCCCCGGCCGAGCCGCTGGGCAACGTGGAGCGCTCGCTGCGCGGGCCGCCCGAGCTCCTGCCGGACGCGCGGGGCTTCGTCCCCGCCGGCTACGAGGAGTTCGAGTACGGGGGCGAGATCTTCGCGCTGCCCGCGCCCTACGACGAGGAGCCCTTCCAGGCGCCGGCGCTCTTCGACAACTGCTCGCCCGCCTCCTCCGAGTCCAGCCTGGACATCTGCTTCCTGAGGCCCGTCAGCTTCGCCATGGAGGCCGAGCGGCCCGAGCACGCGCTGCAGCCGCTGCAGCCCAAGAGCGCCACGTCGCCGGCCAGCAGCAGCAGCGCCTACAAGCTGGAGGCGGCCGCGGCGGCGCAGGCGCAGGCGCAGGCGCAGGCGCACGGCAAGGCCAAGCCGCTGAGCCGCTCGCTCAAGGAGTTCCCGCGCACGCCGCCCGCCGAGGGCGTGGCCCCGCGCCTCTACAGCACGCGCAGCAGCAGCGGCGGCCGCGCGCCGCTCAAGGTCGAGCGCGCCGCCGCCGCCGTCGCCCCCCACGGCCCCACCGCCTCCGCCGCCGCCGCCGCCTCCCGCGGGGCGCCGCGGACCTTCTTCCCCCAACAGAGGTCCCAAAGCGAAAAACAGACCTATTTGGAAGTAAGGAGGGTAAAGTAAAACCGAGCCGAAGCCCCGCCTCGGCGCTCCCCCCCCACCCCACCCCGGGGGGGTCCTAGAATCTCAGGGCCACCCCCCCCAATCCCATCCCACCCCCCAACCCCGGTTCCCTGGGCGGGGAGGGAGGGCGCGGAGGCGGCGGAGCCCGTGCACGCGTGGTGACTTGCCTGGGTGGCATTCGAAGGCGAGTGGCGGGGCGGGTACCATACCCAGAGCAGGAGGGCAAGGAGAGAGAGAGAGAGAGAGGTGAGACACACCAGGAGGAAGGGAGAGACGCACACCTAGACAATGAAAAAAAAAAAATGAAGCGAACTAATTTCTTCTTTAGGATGCACGGCCTGCTCGGTGCACCTCTTGGTCCAAACGTGCAAAATCCCGAGAGCGTCGCGTGCTAGCCAGCCGCTTCCACCTGTCTTTCTTTGTATCCGGGGAGGATGCAAAGTTTGCAAAGTTGCCCCGTCTCAGTGTCTCGGCTTCGAAGCTGGTTGCAAAGAGAATTCATTTTCCGCTTGCTTTCTTAGCAAAGGCTGTATTGATGCCAATGCACCTTTAGCGTCGATGAATGTTGAGGCATGTTGATGGCTGTCCCTGGTGTCTCCAAGCCTTGGAGTACGTAAAAGTGTGTTCCAACCCACAACCACGGAGAGGCAGGCAGTTCCTGGGCAGATACACAGGTTTTCAATGTGACAGAAACCATTGATTAAGCTCGTTAACATGATAGCACTCACCTGTGCCTCCACCTTTTCACTCATTTCAAGAGAGTGGGTCAAGTTGATTACAGACTCATCTGATTTCCCAGGCAACACAGTGCCTGCTGTGTACCAGCTCCGTGCGCTAATTACTGAAGCTTCAGAAATAAACAGTCCAGAATGCCCCACAGGCTTAGCACCTGGAGTTACCATGAACTGGGGGCATATAGGAGGGATCTCTAAAACCTCTTGGGGTGATCATGTTAGAGAATGCACTCTAGGTACATTGAATATCTGAATTAATTTTAAAAAGCTGCTTAGAAGCTATGAGGGAAGAGCCAGGTAATGAAGCTTAAAAAAAAAAGACTCGGGCATAGAACAACTGAGTATGCTTTTCCTTTTTGCATGCTGGGAAAGATGGAAAGAAGGCCCCAGAAACAGGAGGGGAATGGATCATGGCAAGCCCTGGAGTTTGCTGCCCACCTGGGTTCCAGGAATCAAACTGCAGAGAACACCCAATACTGTAGTCTAGCAAAACCGCTCACATTCTCCAGGAATCTGAGATTTTTCTTCTGTCTCTGGTTTCTTGACTCTAAACCTTAAAAAAATATCTTGGGTAAAATTTCTGAGACAAATCAATCTTAGGTAATCTGGAGAGTTCATTAAAAGGGGAAATAGAAGGGAATTAATAGTACCAGATTAAACAGGGATGCAGGCAGAACCTTACATCAAGCTTAGAAGACTTGTAGTCCATGCTTTAAGAATGCCTTGATGCCTGGCGGTGGTGGCACATGCCTTTAATCTCAGCACTCAGGATCTCTGTGAGTTTGAAGTCAACCTGGTCTGCAGAGCGAGATCCAGGACAGGCACCAAAACGACACAGAGAAACCTTATCTCGAAAAACCAAAAAAAAAGAAAAAAGAAAGAATGCTTTTATTTTACATGGTCATAAAAATGTGAGTTTTTTGCCCTAATTCATGTGTGAACACATAGCAATAACAATATGCCAGCATTCCCTAACACATGAAGACCCGAATCAGGTCAAGAGACACCAAGGAAGAATCATGCAGAGTTCATGTGAAAAGGGGCTGTGTGTGTAGATATACATGTTTATGCATGTGTATGTAACACATGCATGTTTGTGTACGTGTATTAATGTGTGTGTATCTGTATTTAAGGTAGGGCTAGGACTGGGACATCAGGTGCACAAGATAACCCTGTGAAACTATATCCTTAAAGGGGTCAGTACTCAGTTGTTGGGGTGAGCAAAACCATTTGGCTTCAGTCTGCTGTACCCCACCTGTGACCGGAAGACCTAAAGCCGGTCTTAGTGTCTTCACTGAGAGGCAGGAAGAAAGACAGTGTGCTTTAGTGCAAAACGCACCTGACTGGGTAGTAGGAACTCTAGGTTCTAACCCAGGCTCCGATACCAGGTAGTTGCCTGCTTTGGACTGGCTCCCCTGTGCCTCCAGTTTTCTTATCTATGAAAATAAGATATTTAGGGAGCTGGAGAGATGGCTCAACAGTTAAGAGCACTGGCTGCTCTTCCAGAGGACCCAGGTTCAATTCCCAGGACCCTCACTCATGGCAGCTCACAACAGTCTGAAACTCCAGCTCCATGGGATCTGATATCTACTTGTCTCCTCGGGCGTCAGGCATGCACATGGTGCCAGATGTAGAAGACAGAACGCCAATACAGATAACAATAAGTTGACGTAAAAAGGAAGACATTGAGTGGAGAGCAGGATAGCTCAGCAGGTAGAGCTGCTAACCTGAAGGCTTGACTTTGGCCCGGATCCTACAAGATGGCAGGGGAGAACCAACTCCTCGCGAGTTGCCTCTGACTTCCACAAAGGCTGCCTGGCACCTGCGTGCCTGAACTCACACACACACGCAAAGAAAAAGCACTGAAGTTTTGGCTGGTGAGGTTACTCAGCAGGCAGAGGCACTTGTCCCCATGCCTGATGACTTGCATTCCACCCCTAGAACCTACGTGGTGGAAGGCCAGCTGATTCCTGCATCGTTCTCTACCTCCACATGTGCCCTGGCCTGTGGACCCATCCCTCATCCCAAATAATCAATGTGATCATAATTTCTAGGAAGCAGGTTACCTCACAGCGTCATCAAGATCAGACCCGACAAGGTAGTTTGAGAGTACGCTTTGTAAAGTATGAAATACTGTACCAACTAAAGACGGTAGTAAGACCATGGTTCCACAGACAGATTTTCCTTAAACAATTTATGAACAATAATGAACGGAGAATTTGGTGTGGATCCTAGTTAAAGACTACTTTAATGGAGGTCCACATGACAGGAGACAAAACCAAGCTCCTTCCTTCTATGGTCTCCTAAATTCTAAGTCGGGATGTTCTATCATTGAGCAGGTGTTTTGGCTAGCAGTATAGCCTTGCGTTAGTCCCCACAGACACCTCCCAAAATGTGGTCTTGGAGGTAGTGGTGGATGCAATGTAAAACATACATACATATATATATGTATGTATGTATGTTTTACGAGACAGGGTTTCCACCTGACTCTGCCTCCCATCTGCTGGGATTAAAGGCGTGCACCACCACCACCCAGCCTAATTTTATATTTTATAAATTTTATCAATCCGGAAACTGGAGCCAGACCTACTGAGTCAGAAACTACTATTTAGGACTCACAGTTAGGTGTTTGCCATAAACAGTAAGTGCATTGGGCAGAAGCTTGCCTGAAACTGGTTTTCATATCTAAGTATGTACAGCGATTATGTATACGCTAGAGATTCTGACTCAGAGACTCCACGCTTAAGAATCTGTGTTTTTAAGGAAAAAGCAAGTGTAGATGGTCCTAGGGTGCCAGGAGCATGCTTTGAGAAACATTGCACTAAGCCGCCAGGATGCTGGTCTCCGTGTTTTAGTTATGAAGTTTCTTAGCAGCATCTCAGACTTTGCAGGTTGGCTACTACAACCACAAGTGAAGGTCTCAAAGTCAGATCTAGACGGTTCCTAGGCAGACCTCTTGCCCGTGCTTTGCTCCTCTGTCAGCAGGCAGTCAGCTGTCCTGGTGTGCTTTCTGCTTTGACTTCTTAGAGTCACTCAAGTTGAGCAGCTGCTTCTAGATTGCTTTGAAATCACCATCATCTCAAGGAAAATATTCTGTTCATGTAGGGTGTAAGTTTGTGTGCATACCCAACACATACTTACATATGCATTTAAGTATGTGTGCACATGGCCTGGAGAGATGGCTCAGCAGTAAAGAGCATTGGCTGCTCTTCCAGGGGACCTAGATTCAATCCCCAGCACCCACATGACAGCTCACAATTGCCTGTAACTCAGGTTCCAGTTGATCCAACTCCCTCATGCAGACGTAACACAGGTCAAATATCAAGTACACAGTAAAAAAAATAAGTATGTGTGCACATGGTAACACATCTCGCACTTAAAAATAAGTGCGTACAAGAAGTGTCTTTATTTTTAATTGTACTCTAACTGTGCACTGAGTTACATAAGTAGGATGAAAGCAAAGTTTAGACACACCAGTTAGACACTTCTCAACAGGTCTGACCTCTTAAAAACTACTCTCCACTGAAATACAGAATTAGGAACAGGACTTTAAAATTATGGTTACATTGTTGATAGCATCCTGTTGATCTCTGTGTCCCTCAAAAGTAAAGCAAGCCACAACAGTAGCAAAACCCCTTAATATTAAGTTTTCTTATTTTGTAGAAGGAGAAGCATACCAAGAAATACCAGGGGTCGAGTATTGGCTTATTCAGCAAGATACAAGTGATGCCAGTGCAGAGTTTATTTTCTTTATTTATGGTGGCTATAGAGATAGCTCAGTGGTTAAGAGCACCGGCTGCACTTCCAGAGGACCCAGGTTCAATTCCCAGCACCCACATGGTAGCTCACAACTGTTTGTGACTCCAGTTCTGGAAGTTCCAATGCCCTCTTCTGGCCTCCCTCGGTACCAGGCATACACACATGGTACACAGACATACACACAGGCAAAACACCCGTACACATAAAAGAAAAATATATTCGTTATTATTGTGTGTGCCAGGGCAAGTATATCAAGGTCAGACATGTCCTGGTTAGGTTTTTTTTGTCAGCTTGACAGAAACAGGAGTCATCTGGGAAGAGAAGTGTCAGCTGGGAAATGCCTTTATCAGATGGCTGGAGCCAGGTCCGTAGGGGCATTTTCATGGAATAGTAATAGAGGAGGGAGGGTCCAGTCCTCTGTGGCGGCGGTGGGGGGCGGGAGGGGTGCTGCGCCCAGGCAGTGTTCTGAATCAGCCTGAGCAAACCATGGAGAGTAAGCCAGGACGGAAGGTCTGTCCGTGATTAGGCTTCGGTTCTTGTCTCTAGGCCACTGCCCTCCTTGAGCTGCCTCCCTGACTTCCCTCAGTGCTGGACTGTTATCTGCAAGTGTGAGATGAAATAAACCTTTCTTTCCGAAGCTGCTGTTGGATCATGGCTTTATTTATCCCAGCAATAGAAGGCAGAGGATGACAGAGGGCATTTGAGGGACCCACTTTCTCCTTCCACCTTTAGGCAGGTTCCAGGGATTGAACCCAGGTCCTCAGGCCTGTGTAGCAAGTGCTTCTGCATGCTGAGCTATCCCATCAGCCATACAGTCTGTGCCTTTTGTTGTTAGCCAACTTCCTTTATTTACTTCTCTTCATCGGTGTATTCTGCTGTGGACGGTTTGCCTTGATTTGTAGAGAGAATTACACTCGGACAGTGTTTCTCTTCCCACCTCCTCACTCCGTCACCCTAGGTGTGCTTTGGCTGGGACTGGAACCCACAGGTAGTCATGGGGGTAGGAGAGGCAGGCGGCAGAGTCCCACAGCCAGGGTAGCGACTTTTTGGAAAAGAGTAAAAAACCATGCCTCTTTTGTGTTTTCAGGAGATGCACTTAGAGGATGCCACCCGATTCTGTCCAAAGGAGGAAAGAGAGAGTGAGCAGACTTCTTTCAGCGATCAGAACCCCAGGCAAGACCAGAAAGGGGGCTTCCGCAGCTCCTTCCGCAAGCTCTTTAAAAAGAAGTGAGTAGCCCTTAGATAAAACAGTGTTGTAGCTCTGCCCTTTGGCAGAGGGTGGAGGTTTTTACAGTATTAAGTACTGAGTAGCCCGGTCTCACACAACTGGTTCAAATTCAGGGTTTGTACCCAGTTTCTGAACAGAAGCAAACTCAGCCCCCCTGCCACTTGTTAAAATCCTTCCTGCTCATTCCCAGAGCTGTGTCCTGAGGGGAGCGAGAAGAGGGTGCCCCCTGGCCATTGGGCTGACACAGAGAGAGCCTCTGTGGGAGCTGGGTGTTCAGTTAGACCTTCCACATGTGGAGAGTGACGAAGGCGTGCCGGCGTTCTGCCCTCATGGGCCTCAGCATCCCGGCTCTGAGCAATTTGTGTTGGAACTTGTAAGGGTTTTCCCTGAATGAGTGGATTTGCCTCAGGTCCTAGTGAAAACTTTCAGAGTGTCCATATTAGATGGGAAACAAAAGATGTTTCCTTCCTTGGTCTTTCTAAGTCTTCTTATTGCATGAAGCATTACCTCCCAGACATTGGGCCAGTGCTGTGTTGCATTTTGGGAGGTGGGGCCAGGCTGCAGCGTAAATGTAAGGAAGAGAGAGCTGACCCTTAACCTTTGAGCAGCATGTGACTCAGCAGTCTAGCCCTTGCCTGCCTGGGTGGCTGCTGTGTCTACCTCCACAGGTCCTCAGGCCTGCCTTCCTCCCTTAGGGACAGCTCCTCGTTAGTTACTTCCTCTTTTTAGAGATCATTGTAAGTCATTTTTCAATCTCAAGTCTATATTTTAATTACTAGAAAAATTAAATGAAGGTGTTATTGTTGCCTTTGGAGACTTACTGGGAAGCCACTTTCTCCAGGAAGGTAGTTACTGGTCTTGATGATAGAGGAAGTAGAGAAAGCCTACAGTTGGCTTTCCTTTTTTCTTTCTTTCTTTCTTTTTTTCTTTTTCTTTTTTTTTTTAATGATTTGTCTAATCCTCCAATGGGAGGGTGATGCTGAGATTAGTGGGTATCTGATTGTTGGTCCTTGCCTGTTGTTACTAGAAGGAGGAGGAAGAGGAAAGAAGAACAGCGGTTCTACAGTTAACCACAGCCCTACAGTCTGTCTCCTTCCCTGCAGTTAACCACAGCCCTACAGTCTCCTTCCAGTTTTGCTAGGCAACCCAGTGCATGCATGACTGTTGCTGGACCCTCAAGTCACTTTATGTAGGGACTGGGGCTTAAGAACTGTTTATTCCTCTCCTGGATTATGGATTTAGGTTTTCCTTGGTCTATAGCTGCTAATGACATGAGTTGGAAGAAGTAGACAAGTTCCCAGTCTAAACTGGGGATTTAGGCTCTAGATCTTCGGAAGAACTCCAAACTCCTAAGGATGCACATGGCTTGAGTCTGTTGGATATTTTTTAAAGTCATAAGATTCCCCAAAAGAAATAACGATTTGTTCCTCACTACCATTTATAATGACTGAACAGTATTTGTTGGAAAACAGTCAGCAATAGATCCTCCCTTGGTTCCTTTACAAGTTCCTGTTCATCAAAGAGATGTAACAAAATGGCCTATTAGTTACATGACGCATAGGGGGCAGATCTGCCTCTTTGTATTGAGAGGGCAGAACTAGCACAAGGGAGGAGGAGGAGGAGGAGGAAGAGGAGGAGGAGGAGGAAGAGGAGGAGGAGGAGGAGGAGGAGGAGGAGGAGGAGGAGGAACACTGTAGAAATGCACCTGTCTGAACCTGGCAGACTCACGACAGAGTGAGTTCTCTGAAATAGGAGCTAGATGACTCTGCCTGGGTTCTCTGCAAAGTTTTCCTACGCTGGGTGGGAGATTGCTGGAGAAATCATCAGTCCTTTCCAGTATGTATATTTGCTTTATGTGTACTCTGGCTTTATTGTAGCTCAGTCTGAATAGTCTCCCCAAACTAGATGAATGTGGTGTTGGGCCTGTAGTTTTAAAGGTCCCCCAAAGAGAAGGCCGTACAATCTTGCTGGAGCTCCCTGCCCCCACAGACCTTGCAGACAACTTAAACCGGGGCCTCTCTAGACTCACACTGGCTAACTGCCTTCAGTTGTCCTGCAACTTGGGGCATTTTTCTTAGAGAAAAGACCAGTAGATTCTCATAGACCAGTCTGCATCTGTCATAGTACTATCAACAATAATGGCACTGTCCTCTCTATTTAAAATGTCAAGTGTTACCTGAGTGGAGGTGAAGGTGGAGCCACTTCGATGATTCTTCCTCTGGCAGGCTTTCCTGGCTTGGAAGGTCTGGTCTAGGACAGTCAACACCACGCAGGCAGTTCCTACTACAGCTTTGTACTTAGGGAGCTCTTCAGAGTCTTGGCAAGGGTTAAAGAAGCAGCTTAGCTAGCTTCTTCTGGTTTTTCATCTAAAGACTGTGGAAAGTCTGTTAAGGACCACACTCCTGTATGGTATTACAGAGAGAAAGGGCAGGGAGGCCCCAGGGTAGCAGGAAGGGCCTGTGCCTTTAACTCAAATGTAAATACACCATTCTTGTATCTGTGCATAATTCCAGGCATGCATAAAGGACCATGAATGACATGGTCCCAGCCATTGCATAGGAACTTGCACTCTGAACTCAGGAATGTGTAGGATGAAAGATAAACTCTCTCTTCTAGAAAAATCTATATGGAGAGTGTTAAAGACTTAAACCTAGATTATTGTGAAAGATGAGGCGCAGGTAGAAACAAAGTCAGCCATTTTGAGTGTCAGGAAGTCAGTTGGCAGCAAGCCCAGTGACCTTAAGTCACTAACCCTGGGTACCGGCCACCCCAGAGCCTGGCCGCCCAGGTCCACACGGCAGGCCCCGGAGAGGCAGCTGTGCTCCGTCCGGGGCTTACCGCCTTCCTCCCCTGTAGCCCTCTGGAGGTTCAGTCCTGTCTACACTGACACACTTTTTGTTCCATAGGGGCTTGTTTGGCTGGTGGCCCCACACACCCAGAATGCTGCTTCGGGATGAAGCTAGGCATGGAGCCAGATGCAACAGAAAACCCGAGAAAGGGTTCTCTTCCCTCTGAGGCTGGGAGGGCCGAAGGATTCCACAGGCAGAGTCAAGTTGACATCATAAAAAATATTCTGAAAAAGTGCCCACGATATTTGAGGATAAAAGGGTAACCCTTCTATTGTCTCCATCCCAGGCCCATTTGCCCTGGGTAGATACCAGGTCATAGATCCCCGAAAGCTGTACAGAATCGGTCAGAATGAGGTCTGCTAGTTCAAATCTGAGCATGTTAAGTGACTGCACATCTTAAATGGGATTCTCAGAAGCTGGGGAAGAGATCTGCTATGAAAGGCCGATGTTTGACTGAATAAGATGGAAGGGAACTGTCCCCCTAGGAGAATACACATGGACACTGTCAGCCAAACCCAGACTGTTGTTAGAGCGGAGGCCAATGCTTTTCAGGTCTGTGTACAACTCTTACACTTGGGTCACTGAGTACTCTTGACTGGGGTGTAGCAGTCGGGAAGAGAGCACGTAAGACAGTGTAGGGTAAGGCCTGTAGACGGTGCTTCCAGCCTTCATCATCAACTCGGTGGGGAGTAGACGATAAAGAATACACCATCTAACGACACCCTTTCTCTTCCTCTTAGTACTTCATAATTTAGATGATTATTTCTATTCCAGCCATCCTAGCCCCTCCACCAATTGCATCAAAATCGATTTTCCTCATCACACGGTCAGGAATACTTCTGCAGGGCCCACAGATTTGCATGTCAGGGAGTCCTCTTTGTTTGGTGTCTTCTCAGTGGTTCGTGTCTATGCCTCTTTTGCGGAACAGTCCATGTAACAGAAGGCAGGACTCTAAGAATCAGTTGATCATTTCATACTCATTTTCTCTTCAGAACCCACCCCAAGCCCCAGCCTCCCTCTTACCCACTTCGCAGTTCCATCCTATCTCATTTAATTTCCTATGTGATTTGCAAATTCAAGAGGGGATGCTTGAAAGGATAAGTAATTGAGGTCACCTAACTCTGGTTGGGAATGCTTCCCAGCAGGTCATCTGAAATCAGTTATTTTTAAGTGTCTCCAGTGTATTTGGTTGTCCCCAGCACACACACAAAAAGTAGACGAAATAGCTCCTACCCATTTGGAGCTTGTAGTTCAGAGGGTAGCTTAGCTACACGTTATAGTCCATGGCATATAATTAGAGTGCTCATTCACCACCCTGTGAATGCCATGGTTGACTGGCTTGGCTAACAAAACAGGTGCTCCTCAACCTCCTCCGACCTCTTCATGTGAATGCCCTAACACTGTCGAGGAGGATAGTCTTTCACATGAGAGAACCAACCCTTGTATGTCAGAGACGTCTGTGGTACTGGATTTTTACCTCCCTTCCTCATCTCCAGTTTTTCAGGTTGAGCTGTAGCTCAGCTGTACTTACTGACCTACCCGCCTTGGCTATTTCTTTTTCTCTGTCACTTGAAGGATGGTTAACAGGAAGTTCTGTGAAATGTGGGTGACTGTGTGTCACGATACATTGACAGCCACTGTACTCTTCACTGTGGGTTCTCCACTGCCCCTCTAGTATCTGCTCAGATAGGCCCTGCAGCTTGCCCTGCAGAGGGCGTAGGGTGTTCAAAAGCCATTTCTGTGTTTTACAGAGAAAGGGAATGAAAAGAAAACACACTATCTCCGTCTAGACTCTGCAGGTTTTCCCCTACTTACTTACCCCGACACCCTTAGACTAGTCCAGGTATACCTATAGAATGGTGAGCATTACAGTGTCAGCTCAGATTGTCTTGAAAAAAGTGAAAATGAGCTTTGCTGCAGTAGAGTTCCGGATTTGAAAAACAGTTAGCAAGTTAGCCACTAGCTACTTAGTAGTTAATATTCAGAAGCACAGACTTTTGTACTGGAAACAAAGAGGAGGTACAGTTTGTAAGAAGAGCAGTTAAAAAAGAACAACCATCTGAGCTGAGTTTGTGGAAACTAGACAGGGCGATTTTGGCATTTGTTTCAGAAATGGGACCTCAACTGGTGAAGATTTCTGTGGTCCTTGGGGCTGGTGGTGACATCAGAGCTTTCCCCTTTCCAGGTAAACTCCAGTTGCATGTGGGAACCTCCAAGTGTGACGTGTTGGGTCTGGAGAGATGAGGCGTAGGGAAGAGGGAAACTGTGAGGTGCAGTCTCACAGTAGATTAATGGGGAGGACAACTGAGAAGACACTGTGCAGTTAACTCCTACTTCCTGCCCTAAAAGGCAAGGGCTTCTAGGCGTCCAGCTACCGGAAGACAGGGAGACAATGAATAGCCGAGGTGCATCTTACTAATGTCTGGGGCACAACTGTGCCAGCCAGGGATGATCTGAGCTGGAGGGAAGCCTGGAGTTTTAGGGAGAATGTGAGTCTGTTTCCAGGAAGTTGAGGCTGGTCCTTGAAAAGAGAAGTTCACCCTACCTAGATACCTTCTTCTTATCTCACAAGTATCCAGGTGTACTGGAGCTGAGAGAGAGTATTTCTCCTCCATTTACTGGGATACAGTGGGAAAGTAGTCCTTTCTAATCAAGTAAAAGCATGCTGGGTAGCTCTGGCTTCTTTTCTGATATTAAATTGAGAAGTAAAACTATCTAGTCCATTCATCACCTTTTCAGACATCTTTAGTCTTTCTGTAGGTCCAGTGTTTTTACTTTATACTAGAAAAGGATGTTTGAATTCTTCCCAATAAGCTCAGTAGATATAGATTCATAATTAGTAAGAATAATTATTAGTAGCAAGGACTTGGGCTGGGTATAGATATATAGCAATAGAGCACTTGCTTGTGTGTGAAGGGCACTGGGGCCAATCCCCAGTACCACCAAAACAGAACAAAGTAAAGCAACCCTCCCAAAAAATAACCAACAAAAACCTCCCGAACAAAGACTCAAACCATGACAGTGAAAGAGCTGGGAGGCCAGTTATCCTGCGTATGTGTTCAGGGAGAGCATTTCTGATGCAGGGTATGGAGACATGGGTCACTTGAACAGGAGCTCTGGAGCTTCTCTTTCAGACATCCCACACCAGGACTTCTGACACCGGGTCTTGGTTAGTGGGCTAGTTTTACCCATTCTAGCTGGAATTAAATAGTGAGAGGGCCCCAGGCTAGCTGTATGAGAGGTTATATCTAGAAAGACTCCTCCCTCTAGGGACTTCTGACATGAACAGACTGGAGAAGGTACAGAGCTGGAATGGATTGCCCAACTGGTTTAACCAAGAGAAAGGAAGAACGCACCCTCAACTGGGGGCTCAAATGGACTGAGTTGACTCCTGACTAGTCGTGGGCTCCTGTGTGGTGCTTGAGATAACTGTATTGATTTCTGCGTTCTACCAAATGTAGCAATATGTGTGGTTGGTTTCAATAAATCTTTCCTTTAAAAATGAAAACAAGCACAAGCAAGAGTTTGTAATGTCATGCCTAGATGAAGCAAGGGCCCATGATAACCTTTTTCATTTCAGGGCCTTGGTAATCTGCCGAGTAGTTATTGTCTTGAGTCAAAGATAGATATTTTTGAGCCTTTATTCCTGTTCCAATGCTTCCACACGGTAACTTACACTGACATACACAGTTGTCACAATTGTCCCCATGAAGCATTAGAGAGAGATTCTGTATGTTCACTGCAGACTTGAGATACACAGATCTTAAGTTTTGAAATTCAGGGGAGTGAAAATGATTCCAGATCTAGCAGGCAACTGTTTTACAAATGCAAAACAATTTGGGTAGATAAAATATTTGAAAACAATTAAAACCAAATCAACCTGTACTTTATCTGTGTGCTGAGATTTTAGGTCCAGTGGATCAGAATACAGGGAAAAAAGTAATGAGAACCCCTCAATGGATCCTTCACCCACCAAACAAGATTTCTTCAGAAACCGACTTGCTCTTGCAAATGACCTTGACCAAGGAACAGCTGTGTAAACACACTTACAGTTGTATTATCAAGTGGTAAGAGGAGGGGAAAGCTTGTCTATATCTCTGCAGGAATATATATATACATATATATATATCAATGTATAAATCCCTGAGGAAAACTAATATAAATATTTACATACGAAACTAAATCAGCATACAAGCTATTGAAGAGATGAAGATTAGTCTATGGTTAAGACTTGACTTAATGAACCTCAACACTTGGGAAAAGGGGAACGAAGACCCCTTTCACATCATTTCAGAAAAACATAAACTTGGAGGAAAATAAATGTTTGTAAGAACAAAACCTTGCACCTTGAAGTCATTCCCCAAGTATAATAATAAGCATGTTCATTTTTAGCATGGATGTGAATTTTGTGCTTCCTAGGAATTTGAATTCATAGCTTATGAATTCATCCCACTGTGCTTAGACTAATAAGCCCTATGTGAGGGTCCAGCTGTGTCTTGCTTCGTATCTTTCCAAACCTCAAAACAAAATACAACACCCTTTAAGGCAAAGGATTAACAGAACTGGATTTTACTTGTGCAAATCAGAGCTCTAGATAATTGGTCCTTACACTATAACTCAGAAGCTTCAAAACTTAAAGATACGTTGCTCTCTAGCTTGTTCTATGGTTATGGAAATCAGTCAAGGGAATGGGTGGGAGCAAAAACAAACATTCTCCTTATGTGGGTGTTGAGGATGGCGGCGGTCTTAGATCCAGTAGATAATGTGTCAGACCCACTCGTGCCCAGAGAGACCCACTCATGCCTACAAAGACCCACTCATGACCAGATAGACCAGGGAAGAATCACTGACTTAGCTACATTTTCTTTCAGAGACTTTGAACCCAGGGTCTTGTGTGTTCAGGCAATTGCTCAATCACTGAGTTCCATCTCCAGCCTGCAAACCTTTCCTTTGGTCTGGACTGAAGCTGGCCCCAGCATAGTAATGGCCACATTACACAGCGGTTACTACAAACCAGAATGAAAACTCAGGGACCCACCACTCAGCTCTTCTAGGAGGATGTAAAGAATAGACACTTTCATAGCCCAAGTAGAGAACTCACTCTACTGTGGTGAGGCCTGCCTGGTCCTGGGGGAATAAAATGTGCTGTCTCCATCTGGACATGCCCCACAGGGCCAGCATCCTTCTCCTCCATAGGCCCCAAACATCAGATTTGTAACAGAGAGAAACAAAACAAAAGAAGTTTCAGCTGTTTGACTCCATTGTTAGGCAGTTGTAAACAGTGTTGATGTTCACACTGACTCCTGCAGACAGGGCATCAGTAGAATGCAGGGTGAGATAGAAGTCTCATTTGTAAGTATTGCAGCCTTTCTCCTTGTCTAATGATCGCGTAGGAACATATCCATTAGCATACAAATAAGTATATGAAATGTGTAAAAGATTACTACTAAGTTTCGAGAGTTTCAGTTTTTAAACGTAAGCCGAGCTTTTCATCTCCCTGACCACTGAAGTCAGATTTTTATCAGGCTAAAATTGCTCTAGGGCAGTGCTTAAAGGCGTGCCAGAGCAACTGGATGTGGAAAGTGAATAGAGACAACTGAACTAGGAATAAAAATAAGACTTCTTTTTCCTTCCATAACCTGTCAGCAAAACAGTGGGGTACTAGAAAGTTTTAAACATTGCACACCTCTCCAGTTTTATTTTGATAGCATAGTCCATCTACATCTGCAAACCACTGTTGTATATTATTAAACTAATAATAATGTTGCCACTCTGGGCCCCTATTTCCTGTTAACCAGACCCTGGGTGGGTGCCTTTCTAACCACCCCTAAACATTCTTATCTCCCATGTATCTGGTTCATTCACATTCCCAAACACAGTTTAGCAAAACTTCACTCTTGTCTGCTATGAGATGCCCAGATCCTCAGCACGTCAGTCTAGGTTTACTCTGTAGAGAGCTTCTGTCTTCCAACTGCCCCTCACACTTCCAAGTTCTGCATGAACTAGCATCACCTACACTGGGCTTTGCTTTTGCCGGTGAGCCATGCACTTTCCAGCTGACCCCCGCTTCACACCCTTGCTCTAGCTCTTCCAGCTGAGCTGATTGTAAAGATCCAGGTTGAGCCCTCATTTTTTCTGAGATCCCCGACGGTGAGACTAGTTCATCTTTTGTTGTCTTTGTCTCCCCGTTAAGAAGGCGAGTCCTCTCAAAGGCAAGTGCTTTTTGTTTTAGGTGTTCCACAGATCGTTTCTACTTTTCATCTGACAGACCATTAGCCTTGTCATCTCCGTCTCTCGCCTTTCTAAAGGAAAAAATGCCAATCAAAAAGGAAGTAAGAGAGTTAGTTGTCTTCAGGATCAGTTAAGGTACCACCAGATACTAAAAAAACCTCTCCAGTTACAAGAGAAGTCGGTCACTCTCTTTTCTTTCTTCTGGCTCATAGTATTATTTCTAGGTAGCAGTATCAGTTGATAGGGGAGGCAGGGTCTTTCATTAGTGACTCATGATATTTGACGTAATGATGGATTAGGGACAGAGTCAGGGTGGGACAGAACGGGGCAGCTGCTCCAGCTCAGGGCTCCAGCCCTCCGAAGTGGACTGTACACACCAGATCACTGGTGTCTGCAGGACACGCCTGGGTGATAAGCAGAAAGAAACACTTCCTCAGCAGGTACAACTTTCTGCACAGGCTAGGCGGTCCCAGTGGTGTCTTTTACAGCCCTGAAGGATCTACACCCAAGCCCAAGCAAGGAGTGTCTCATTTCTCCGACTTCAGAATTGCACCCTTTGAGAACCAGAGATTTGTGGGTCACAGTGCTAGCCTTCTTCTGGTGGGCTATTTCCTCATGTAACAGTTTAAGCTAATCGGAGATTTGAAACTAGATTGGTAGAGAAATTCCTGGAATGCTGTTTTTGCGGTGTCTTATGATTTATTGCTTACCTCCATCAAGTCTAATGTCATCTCAGTGGTGACACTAAAAATACAGATTCCCAGGCACTGTTTCAGCCCCATTATAGTGGAATATTTGGGGATTGAGTCCCCAAATCTGCATTTTAAGTGTACCTAGGCTGTGGTTTTGTTTACTGGGATTTTGTATTCCTAGATTTATCACCTATGATTTCACAGTAATAAACAATATAGATAGTAATATTATTAAATATGTATACATCTGATAAGCACTCTTTATAAACTGGCAAATTGATTGCATATTCAAGAAAACTGATTGCAAGTCCTCAAGAACGACTGTCTGTCTTAGATAACACTGAACAATAAAGCTATCAAGTGTTCGGACTAAACTTTTCCACAAAACATTGCCATTAGTAAGTTTCCTCAAGAGCCCACAACAGCACTGCCTCCAGTACAGTTAGAATTCCCTGTCCTAAATGATGATCTGAAGACCTAAGTGTAGGACTCGTGGCTGCTAAGCATTCTTGGATTTGTAAGACTCACATGATGGGGGGATTTGGAAAAAGGGGAGACAGGGACATGAGTTAAATAAGGCTGAAAAATTTGATGGAAATATAGGCATATATACGTACATAGATATGTGTGCATATATATTCTATCTAAATATCATGTATCTCATCCCATGTAGTTTAGGATGCCCCCGAATTCCTGATCCTCCGGCCTCTGCCTCCCATGAGGTAGGACTTCAGGCATGCACCCTCACACCTGGTTTATGTGGTGTCGGGGACGAAGCCAGGGCTGGCTTCCTGTGTGCTAGACCAGCACTCTGCTCACTGAGCTATACCCTAGCCTGAGAGCTATATATTTTAAGGGGAAAGAGTAGAAAGCAGTATTTAACATTTAAATATTGATTATATAAGAAGACAGAGATAGGAATTTAGGCAATGCTACACATGCCTTGTTCAAAATAGTCAAGATCCTTAAACAAAAGAACCTGTTTTTCAATATCTGTTATTTCCTGCGAGCTCAGCAGAGTCTTTTTTTTTTTTTAAGATTTATTTATTTTTATTTTGTGTGCCTTGGTGTTTTGCCTGCATGTATGTGTGTGTGAGGGTGTCAGATCCCCTTGAATTGCAGTTACAGACAGTGTGAGCTGCCATGTGGGTGATGAGAATTGAACCCGGTCCTCTGGAAGAGCAGCCAGTGCTCTTAACTGCTCAGCTCTCTCTTCAGCCCCTCAGCAAACAGTCTTTAAGTCATCTAAGCTTGTTCTCTATTGTTTCTATAAAACAGGAAACTTAACCATTTTCCTTTCCGATACAGTAACGTGGAATACTCCTTATTCTTGGAAGGAAAACGTCATTGTTTCTTTCTTGTGTATGTAAAGTTTTTATTCTGAAGACAGTGGGCTGTATTATAAAGGACTGTTAGCAGATAACATCTGTGCTTGAGTTAACACTGTGCTCGCTAGCCCCCCTTGTTATCACAGTTTCTTTTCTTATCAGGGGCAAACCTTTTAGCACCATACAAACATGCTCTTACTTTTCCCCACCCATAAATAAGAAGAAATCTTTCTTGGCCACTTCTGTTCTCCAGTTTTCTGCTTCCTTTTACGGTAAAACGTACAAGAGAAAACCACTCTGATCCTTTCCTGCAATATTTTTTATTAAACTCATTAGACCCTTCCAGGCCTTTGCCTAATCACTCCCAGAAACTTCTTGTGTGCAGATCACTGAGGCTGGAGGTGATGGCTCACATTTATTATTCCAGCAGTTGAGAGGTGGAGGCAGGAGAATCACCATATTGAGGCAGATTGGAATATATAGTGAGACCCCCCCCACACACAAACCAATAAAAACAACAACAAAAAATCAGTAATGTCCTCATTGCTAAACATATGGTCCACCTTACTCTATCAAGTAGCAAGATCACTTCCTCTTTTACTAGGCCTTAAGGACTCAACACAATCCTGCTTTTTATCTTTCTTCATTGGCAGTTCCTTGACGATTGTATCAGTCTGCTGCTGTGAAAATGCAGTCTTCCTGGGCCAGAGACGTAGCTCAGTGATAGAACCCTTGCCTAGAATGCACAAGGGTAAAGGTTCTATCCCCAGCAACACAGAGCTCTTTATGAAAATGGCTGCCAGTTTTATATCTTTACTCTGGATCTCTCTCAAACTCCAGACTAGTATCTCTATCTGTTTCCCTTTGACTTAAGATGTCGTATCTACTTTTTGAATGTTCAAAGGCTTATATCTAAGCCTTCTTCCACAGTATCTTTCCCACCTCAGTTAATGGTAGTCTTTATTCTTGTTGCTTTGGCCCCAAACCTTGACAGTTCGGTTTTTTATACCATGTTCAGTCTGTCAGTAAACTGGCTGGCTTCATTCTTAATTCTGACCTTCCCCTCACTTCCACTGCCCTTGTCAAACCATTCCGATTGGACTGGCCTCCCTATTCCTGTTCTTAAGTGTTCTCCATACACAACAAATGGATCCTATTACTCTTCTGCTCAAACCTCTGAGGGCTCTCAGGAGTGTTGGAATGGCTTTTAAAGCTGTAAATGATCTACAACGGTTAAACTCCTGATGCACCTCCTTCTAGTCTATCCATATTCATTTCTCTATCCACACTAGCTACCTCTGTATTCTGTATACCAAGTATGCTCTGCCTTCAGACTCTCCAATCAGCTCTTCTCTTAGTTACTTGGATGTCTCATTCATTCCCCTCTTAAAAGTTTTTATTTATCTCTATAAGGCCAACTGATCATCACATTTAAATTTCACACTTCCGGTCAATGACCCTTTTTCTCCTCATAGCAGTTACATTTTTAATGTATACTATTCTACTTATAAAATATTGTCTACATCTTCTCACTAGCTTATAAATCCCATGAAATGGATTTCTCTTCAGTACTGTTTCTAACATCAGTTCTGTAAAAAGACCAATATTTGTTAATGGCTGAATAGTCAAATGAGCTCTTATCAGATGCTTATAATTTAAGGTCATTCAAAACCAATCTGAGTAGTGACAAACAGCACAGGAAGCCATAATGAATCCGATCATAGGATGTCAGGATAAAGGACCTCTTAAGGGTTTTCTAAAGCACGCAAACTGCAAACATGTCCTTTATACTTTGTCATATTTAGTGCTTTGAGAAAGGCACTGTGCTGTAGCCACATCACCTTTGGAGTTCCTACAAGCCCGTGTATTAGTGAGCCATTCATTCATGTACTCAGTCGTGGAAGCAGGGTAAACAGGCCTGCCCTCAGCGCCACTTGCCCTGTCACAGTGAATCTTCCATCTCGAGTTACTAAGGTAGTGAAACCAGCTACGAAACAGTTGGTAGTTTTTCTTGCCTCCACTAATTCTGAAAGGTCCTAGAAGATTAGCAGGGCCATAAACTGCTTTTCTGAAATCGTATTCTGTCAAAGGTGGAAAAAGGCGGGTTCAGGTGAGGACCTCAGCGCCCTCCTCTGTGATGACCTAGCGTTTACCTTTTTTGATGATAAAGTAAAAAGGTGAATCTCTTGGTTAACGTTCAGAATTAACATTTGAAGAGCAAAATCAAAATCTCTAATTTCAGTGTTAGTATTACTTACAGTTAGTAAACCTGATTACCTAGAGTACATTCAATAATGCATGCTAGGAATGAGCATTTTCAGCATCCCTGATGGCATTCCTCCAGAGGAACAGAGTCTTAGTCCCAGTCACAAACTGACGTTTTGCCTAATCCTCACTTGCCTTGTTTCTTTCTTTTCTTTTTTTGTGGTTCGGGGGATGAAACTGGGGCCTCACACATGCTAGGCAAGTCCCTGCCACTGAGCTACAACCCACCTCTTTTGTATTCTGAGATAGGTGTTAGGATGGCTTTGAACTCACTGTGGCCCAGGTATACCATGAACTCTTAATCATCCTGACTCAGTCTCTTGAGTAGTTGGTATCAAAGGCCAGTACCACCAGGTCTGGCTTACCTTTATTTAAAAATAAGTGGACTGAATCTAATAATCTTTAATATTTTTGTTTTACATTATACCTTGAGTGAGCCTATTATTTGCACAGTTCTTCAGTTTCCTTAAGCTCTTTTTGTGCCAAACTGAGAAGGACTTGTAAAGTTGATCTTCCCGACACTAGCTGGTCCCAGCAGGAGCCGCCTGACAGGGACCTGCAACACCCAGGCACATTCTTTTAGAAATACAATTGCCCTCTGAAACTTCATCCCGTGAATACTCAAAGGCCACCTTACTAATTTCCATCCCAAGCCTCCCTGTTACAATAATAGGATCTGACACTAAACTTACTGTCTCCTTTTTAACTTGTTACAGGAAATAGTGTCCTCACAGGAAGACTATGATAAAATGTAAAGTATTTCTATATGAACTTCAAAATACTGCTCTCTAAAGTGATGCATGCAAAAACAATACACTGTGGGCTATGTAAGGCATTTTTCTTTATTATTTTTCAATTTATCTTAGTAATGCCAGAAAAATAACAGCCATTATTTTCACTTTGAACACAGACCAAATACTGCTGCACATAGAGTACAAAGATTACCTACAAACATGGTTAGGTACAAAGACCATTGGATGTATAGACCACACTTCGTTCTTACATCAAAGTAAGACTGACAGCATTTCTGACAGTTATTTTAGCGAATAACCGTGCTACTAAACAAAGGCAGATACACATATCTACACAGACACATCTCAACTAAAATTATACATGTCACTTTGACAAACAAATTCTCTGGTGGTTTCACCAGATATTTGCGCCCCCAAGTCCCCTACCCTAATCCCGCCCCCAAATGCTGACTTGATCTGAAAAAAAAAATTAGAGATGTTCTTAATGAAAGGCACATTTGGCAGCTACTGAAAAGTGGCATGCATCAGCCATGGGTGCACTCTAAGCCACACCACATCGAACTTGCATCTTTTGTATGTCTTGGTTTGTTGAGTGGTAATCCACTGTGACCCACCTTTAGCTAACTTGCTTTATAATTTGTCAGCAACTGGCTACTTAATGCACTATTTTTATTAAAGGCAAAAGGGAAATTTGCTCACAGTTGACAGAAAATGCACTTTATGGTGTTAAAAATGGAAAATAAGGCATGAAACAAGTTTTTGTTTAGATTTATCATGTAGACTTCATGCTTTTTTTTTTCTTAATTAGAACACAGAATACCTCACTGGCTCATGTATAAGGGACTATGAAATCATTTTAAAAGTTAGTACTGTTTCAAATGAAAAAAATTGAATAAAGTCATCCCTTTCCTTTGCATTTTACTGCGGAATTCTCTCTCAGCCAAGTTGACAGGAACCTCATGATGTGAAGTTACTGGAAAAGATTAACGTGCAGTACACAGAACCTGCACCTGCACAAGGGCGACATGACAGAGATGGTTAGAACATGCCAGCCTGCCCAACATGATAGAGATGGTTAGAGCATGCCAGCCTGCCCAACATGATAGAGATGGTTAGAGCATGCCAGCCTGCCGAGCAGCAGAATACCAGGAAATAAGTGCTTGCCTTGGTTCTGAATCTGAAGAGAGGATAAGAAAGGTTTTCCTCTGTAAGTACTCTAGCTGGGACAACATCCCCATTTATCTTCCTGAGCCACTAAATACCCCTAATTTAGGCCATTATCTTAAGATAAGGAAATAACATGTGAGCAAAATTTAATTACATGATCATTATGATAAATACCACTTTGGGTTTGCATTAAGGAAGAATTTGGAATCATAGTATAGCCTCCAACTTAAATAGTACTTTAGTAGAATGTTCCGCTGATTGTGTTTATTTGGCATACTCTTGGCTCAACTCAGATCCATTCAAACATCCTTGAGTCAGAGAATAGTAACCTACTAAACTCACAATTTGATGCCTAACAGCCTTTATTTAAGCAAGAAATTTTAATTAGGCAGGCTTTGATTATTTGTCATTAGTACTCTTCAAACACATTTGAAAGTGTAGAAAGAATAGACAGCCTGTCTTTTAATAAATTTAGAACATGCACTTGTCTGTTCTGTTTTTAAAGTGCTTAGCTGTGAAAAACATCTCTGTTACTGGTGATGAGCCCATCAAGAGAAACTCCCTTTACTTTGTGAGACAAGGATAAGCAAACACTTGCTGGCACGTTGTTTTCTGGAGGAAATGTCCCATATTTGCGGATGGAGTTAAGCAAGTTTTGCCGCCCTGGCTGCCTCCTAATGTCCTGGATTCAGATGCAGTTCTGTGATGGGGCATTTGTCTTCGGCCACTTCTTGTCTCCGAAAATGGACATTTGAGTTATGACTAAGGATACAGCTTTCTCACTTCCACCTTAGGGCATCCAATGAGAACTTTTAAAATCACTTACTGTCACAGAACATATTTTTGCCCAAATGTCATATTTGAGAATAAAAATACCCTTTATCCGTGATGCATTTAAAATGGCTGCACGGTGAAGTTGTCCACTAGAACACCTGGGTAGAGAATAGTTCCCGTTGGGAGAAATAGAATTAACTCCAAATCTGAGAGTTCCCTCCCTTGCGTTGGCTCAAGCAGAGTGAAAGAGGTCATCACCCTGTTGAAAGCAACTCTTGCCGGAGAGATACTGAATGGGTTCTAAAGTTGCTTTTCTTAGGTTCTCATTTGAAGTAGGGATGGGGTAATCAGTAAGCCATGGGAAATTCTAGGGGCAGTTAGGCTGGTCTAATAAGTCATGGGAGATTTGGGGGTGTCATTACAATCGTATGGAGCAGCATTAGTAAGTAGGCCTAGCTAGCTACTTTTGTTGAATGAATGGTCATTTGTTCAATGAATGGTCTTCTGGACACTTTGCATCCAAGAAGGGATTTGAAATGAACTTTTGAGGACACTTTTAAGAGAGAAGACATTTTCCAAAGAGAAATGGCCACCATAATGGGAATGTTAGACACTAAGTGACAAGAGTCAACTCTAACAAATAAACAAGACACAGTAAGGAAGACTGCTGAATGACGATGCAATTAATGTCCGTCCTTCTTAGAAAACTACGCACTGGACTACTGAGATGTCCATTTAATGTTCTAATAAATATCACAAGAAATTATTAATGTACTACGTTTCCACCATGATGCAGCAGAGTTAACACAATTACTGAACTGCTGCTTCATTATTTTGAGGACACATGCACATACTGATGAATTGATGACTGTCTAAGAATGGAATGCTACACAGTTCACAGACATAGTAGAGATAATACAACTTTTTCTATTCAAGTTGCATGCATTTCAGTCACAGTATTTGTTAGACTCAGAAGAGCAGTACAAGGCTTCATGAATAAAACACATGATACTAATGATGCAGGTAGATATTCTCTAAGGAGTAGCTCTGATAGAACCAAAGACCTTAAGTAAAGTGGAATGATAAACGTTAACAAATATGGTTGCTCAAGAAATTAAAAAATCTGCAAGGTTCTGCTTCAAAGATGCTCATCCCATTTTAAGCTAGTATTTCCCTATATTCCAAACTCCAACTTCAGATTATTCTGTAAGAACTAGACACCCAGGCGTACCTCATGTGCTTTTATGCTTAGTGTTTGTATATTTTTCAACCCAAAGAAATAAGAATCAATCATTTTCTCCATATAATAATTTAATATATGCCAGCCAAACAAAGTAGTTTATCTTTATTTAATTAAATAAAAACAGACCTGTCAGGTATATTATATAACATTCACTATACACACATGATTTAGGCAATGCAAGGTAATTCTAAGTATGCTGACGAGTACTCAACTATTAGTAAAACATGAATGGTATCAGTGAGGCCCAGAGAATGCTCCTTTTCACATTGGTTGCCTGTATTTCTGTAGTATGGTTAGAGGGACAGCCACGAGCCAGGACATATGTTACCAGTAAACTCCTGTGGGACAAAGGGGGTGGGGGGATGCCAGTCTAGCATAGAGGAACAGTCTCCTAAGTGTAAATAGTATACTTGACAGTTACATTTTTAAGAAGTTCTTCTTCCGTCATGTTAATGACATGACATTTCCTGTTTGAAGGCAACACCACCACATTTTGTTTGTGAGTGGGGGTAGGTAGGGAATGTTCTTACAATTGGTATAATTATTCTTAAAATAATAACAATAACAAAAAGTACCTCTTTGGTGAAGCCTCGGTACCCATTCAATTCACTGTAATAATCTGTAAACAGGACTGTAGCACAGTGCTGGCCTTGATTTCAACAAGGACAGGTACCACAGCCTTTTCTCACAGTCCTCTGAATGATTTTTACGAAAATATTCTAAAGTAGAAGAGTAAAGCAAAGGAAAACAAAGGAGAAGATCCCTGTTGAAGATTTTTTTTAAAAGTGCATAATATTTTGAATTACAAAAACTGTCAACATATGGGCCTATTGGACATTAGACTGTTTTCCATCCCTTTAATGATAAAGATTACTTCACAAAGTGAGGACTCTTGCCTATTGGCCAGAAGAGTCCCTTCACGTGATTTCCAGGTGCAATCAGTTGTCCAGTTCCTCTAGATCAGTCTCCACATTCTCAGCTGGACTACTGTCTTATTTTGTAATTACGTAGAGGTTAAAATTCATTGTCTTACACCACATCTTGAAGTAGTCCTTAGTGTTTGGAGTTCTCGTTTGAACTCCTCAGTGCTGGCATGTTCAGTGCATCCATCGCCAGCAATGGATTTGGGGTTAGGAAACTGCATCCCAGGACAGAGCAAGTACTCAGGAAGAATGGGCGTTCTCCAACAGTGGTGGTCCATCTCTGTGCATGGACGGGTGTGTGTGCTCCCTCTTATAAGTTTTTGGAGGAAGTTTGGGGATCAGTTGAGAAGTGCTTTGTCGTGGAGGAATAGGAGGCCCAGCAATGGAATGGAGGTCCACTTCCTGTGTCAGCGGTGGTGATGGCAGATGCCGTCTCGTGCCATGAGGAGAAGGGGTTTGAGGTGGTGGTGTAAAGGGGGAAGGGCTATTTGGGAAGAAGGCATTGCCATGATCACTCTTTTTGCCCAAAGGGGGAGGCTGGAGATGTAATGGTGAGCTTGAGAAAACGTCAGGTGTCCTCACAGGTTCTCGTGGTGGTAACAAGGGAGGGCTTTCAGGAGGGTCTGACACAGAGGTCCGATCTGATAGAGAATATCTTGGTGAATAGGCTTTTGATGTGGGTTGCCTAGGAGGAATAGCTGGGGGGCTGTCCAAGTGCTTAGACATAATCTAAAAATGAAAAAGAATAGAACATGTGTTAATAACTTAATCTGAAGAATACTATAAATATATTAAGAATTAACTTGGAATTTTCAGACACATTAGTGGCAGAACACTGTGTACAGAACAGGGAGTTTTATCGTATGTATTGAGATGTTCTACCCATTCTTAGAGGAAAAAAACCCAACAATCCAATTTTGTCAAGATTAAGTAAAAAGTTTGTTGTTTACTACTGGCTGCCTGTCATACAAGCACTATGATTTCTGATTTAGCATAAACTACCCATTAGTTTTTTGGCAGTGTACACATTAGGCAAATGAACTACCACAGCCCTAATTATTAAGTTTTAAATGTACTGTATTAATGTTTCATGAAATCTACAAGGTCTTGACTTATCCTGGTACTTCTGTTTGCTGGGTAGCTTAAGACCAAATAAATTGGTAACTGTCAAAATAAAACAAATGATAAGGGGTGGGGGCGGCATGAGATTTAAACCAGTAGGAAATTTAGTTAGCACGAGTCTTTAAGATCTCTTCTAACCTAGAATTTAAGTTCCTTCTTATTTGGCTCAGAGAATGGCTTTCAGCAGATAGCCAGTATAGTTTCATTTCTCAGATACCTTCACACAAACTCCATGCCCACTCCCACCCCCACCCCCACCCCCGGTCATAAGTTTTAAAAGAAGTGCATGAGGGCTGGAGAGATGTTTTAGCAGTTGAAGACTAGGCTCACAAGCAAAATATAAAAGAATTGCATGAGATCAAGTTACTATTACCTTGTAGATTAAGATTTTTTTTTTCCTTATAATGCTCATAGCTATAAACGTACAGGAGTTTCATGTGCATACTCAAAAGCTACCTTTATAAAAAGAAACAGACATCTTGCATGCTAAATTTATACGTAATCTTTAAACTATTAAACCCAGATACTCTGAGATGTGAGCTTATCCCAGTAAGAATAGACCTGACCTAAACAACTGACTGCAGCTAGTGATTCCAATTTCTAGGTAACAAGGTGTTCCACTTTACCTTAGATGGGGAGGATTCTGTTGGAGCAGACTCTGGCCGTCTTCGAGGGGGGACAGGAGGGGGAACAGGCACTTCATCAGTGCCCTTGGCTAAACTTATAGAGGAGACTGAAGCGGATCCTGTAGGGTGTTATTTTAAAAACAAATAAACAAAACATGATTATAGGACTTTTATTTCACTTATTACTCCTGAAAACTTAGATGGAAACTGCTTGTACTGACTAAAAAAAAAATTTGTTGAAGTATCAAAAGCAGTTTAATAAACCAATACCCAATACCATTCCATTATTAAAATAAACTGCTATAAAAGCATGCAGCAGTTTCCTATCAAATTTTTTTAAAAAGAAAAAGCCACCTAAAATAATTATGTTGCTTCTTAAACAAAATAACATTACCATTGTTAGTCTATAATTGGAATTTTTTATTAGGTCTAATTTTCAGATTTCTGTTGGAAAGGTAATTTGAAAACCTTTGGAATGGTCATTTTTGTCAAACTGTGGTTGGTTCATCTTTTTCTCTAGTTTTATTGCTCTCAAGGGACTATGCTGGACTGAACAGTTTCTGATCGTGACAGCTCTATTGAAACATCTTGTACAGGATGTACAGGAGAGAATCTGGTGCCCTCAAAGTCTATTCACATTTTGCTTGGGTCCAGACTCTCCTTAGCATGTAAACAAAATTAGAATCATCACATCTAATCCAAAACACTTTAACCATGATGAAACTATTCAAGATGCCAGGGGCAGGGAGTGGTAATGAAAACAGGACTGTACTAAGACACAGTCAACCTGATTGAAGAAGAAGTTGATGAAGTGACACAAGAGGTAAATAAAACCAGAACCCATCTAGTGAACATTTAGTGAATAAGTATGCTTTGAAAGTCACTGTATCTACTGTTAGTCTAGAAACACTATAAAAAGATAGGAACACATGGCCGGGCGGTGGTGGCGCACGCCTTTAATCCCAGCACTTGGGAGGCAGAGCCAGGCGGATCTCTGTGAGTTCGAGGCCAGCCTGGGCTACCAAGTGAGTTCCAGGAAAGGCGCAAAGCTACACAGAGAAACCCTGTCTCGAAAAACCAAAAAAAAAAAAAAATAATAATAATAATAATAATAATAAAAAATAATAATAAAAAGATAGGAACACATTTAAACATTCAAAACTGTCCTTGGCGGCTCTTTTTACTCCTTTAAGCATCATGTTCGCTCCTGCCATCGAATATTATAACACTACAGAATGTAGAGAGGATTTTGTGCACTTATAGTCAAATGGTCGACACTATATATCTGCTGGTGTGTGTGCGTGTGTGTGTGTGTGCGCGCGCGCGCATGCACGCGTGTTTGCAGGCCAGAAGTCAGTGTTGGGTACCTTCCTCTATTACTATCCTCTTTATTTTTTGAGACAGGGTCTCTCACTCAATCTGGAGCTCACTGATTGGCTAGGCTGGCCGGCCAGTGAGCTCCTGGGATTGGTCTGTCTTTGACCCTCACCCCAACTTTCCAGCACTGGGATTTTAAGCATGTGACACTATGCCAAGCTTTTGTGTGGATTTAGGGGATCCACAGTCAGGTCCTCATGCTTGCATAGCAAACACTGCTCACTGAGCCATCTCCCCAGACCACGACCAAAATTTGGTCACCTACTTTTTTTTTTTTTTTGGTTTTTCGAGACAGGGTTTCTCTGTGTAGCTTTGCGCCTTTCCTGGAACTCACTTGGTAGCCCAGGCTGGCCTCGAACTCACAGCGATCCGCCTGGCTCTGCCTCCCGAGTGCTGGGATTAAAGGCGTGCGCCACCACCGCCCGGCTTTCTTAAGAAACTATAATTAGCTCATAACTGGTATTTTTTATTGTATATATTTTGAAATCATTTGTACAAAGAGTAAAGCCATTGATTTGTTAGTTTAAAACAACTAAAAATAGTAGAATTTATGGTGAGTTGTTAGTTTAGAACTGAAAGCAATTAACTACAATAATACTTGATTACCTAAATATTTTGAACTTGTAACTAGCTGTAATGAAAGGTCGTCCTTACACAGTTCAATGCAGTTATCTCCCTGCACTCTGTGCTGTCGGCAGGCTAAGTGTGCTCTGTGATTGGACAGTGCACGGAGCTGCCAGCTCCCTTCCCCACTGCGCATGCGGACTCTTGCT